TTCACATTTTACAGGATCTGATAAATTCTATTTATGTTTTGTAGCTCCAAAGCGAAGTGGAGAAACCCCTACTTACTTTCCGAGATAACTTTAAAAAGGACATGAAGAAATTTGATCATCATATTTCTGACCTTCGAAAACAACTTGCCAACCGATATGCCGCAGTAGAAAAGGTATGTAGTTTCAAAAAGGCTCAATGAAAGCACGACAGGTTTTTTTTTCCTCCACTGTGAAGGTATTCTTCTTTATTGGCACAACACTGCTATGATGAGCTACTTTGCATTATCTACACAGCCATATTATGCCTTATTCATTAGTACATACAATGCCCTCCTGAGTTGTGCTTAAAAAAAAATCTAAAAATGTTATTCAGTAATCTTAATTTCCTTGGAAAGAGCAAAGTCATATTTGTCATGAATAGTTAATTAAAGTATGGAAAATTCATTCACACTTAGCTGGTATTTTGTAAATCTTCCCCTGGCATTGATAATACGGTTTCCTGTAGTGTGCTATGAGATTGTGGCACTCCTGAGGGGGAATTCTCCAGGAAGAATTGCTCTAGATCCATCAGACCCTTTCAGTTCTATTCATGTACTGCCTTTCTAGAGGTCACACCACAAACGTTTGATGAGATTGAGCTCTGGAGATTTAGATGGCAAGTTGAGAACATTTGTTTTATATGCAGTTAAGCAGTTCTTTGTAAATTTGGGTGTATGCTTTGGATCTTTGTCATGCTGCAATGTCCATTTTTCAGCCAAGCTTAAACTTCTTGGCAGGGGAAAGCATTCAAGCAGACAATGTCAAATGATAGTTTTGATACTTGTCTCACTATCTATGAAAGCAAGATACAATTGCATTCTCTTCAGGGCAAGGTTGTCATTATACAAAAGTAGTAGATTCAGCTTTTTGTGCATACTTTTTTATGCATTCCCCAACGTGTTGAGGTCAGTGACCTTCTACCTGCAGTCTTCAAGGTGCTCTCTGACCTAAAAATGTCTTCCGTGTGGTGTCTCCTTTTATACACGAGGAAAACAGGAAACCTTGAAAGTCCTCTAAATAGTTCTGGAGACTCCATTGCACTTCCAAAGAGCAGAACATTATCATGGGTTTGTTTTTTTGTTAAATTTCTTTTAATGGAATACTTAGGTGCGTATGAATGTGCTGCTCAAGTTGTCTGAAATTCAAATTTTTATATAATAAAAATGACCCGTCTCTGTATAGGAGCAGTATGAATACTGTGTAATACATATATATATATATTTTTTAAGTAAGACAACATTTCCAAACCATAACTAATTGTGATGATGTATGTTGTTGTTCCCCATTTCAGTATTTGCAGATATTAATACATAAAACATGGTAATGTATCTATAAAGTCATCTGTAAATGGGAAGGAAATCAAACTTATGCAGTAGTAGTAACTGTAGCAGGCAGCTGTTTTGTCTTGATTTAGTTTACCAAATAACTGTGCTGTACTTTGATAAAATGAACAAAAAATCATTCACTGCATATCACAATCTTAAAACTGTGTTATGATTGGAGAGCTGTTCAAATAACTTGCCTGGCAAAGGGCTGAAATAAATGGGAAGTTGCCTGGGTTTCTTAAGAAATATGCTTAATATTCAAAAGACTATCAGTTGGAATTGCCAAAAATATAAAGCTTTGTTATATATGTTTATAATAGGCAAAAATGTGCTTTTTCATAATCTCACTAATGCACTGTGAGGTTGTTACTGTTACACTTGAATGTTGCTGCAGGTTGAAATCATTATCTTGTGTCATGAGAACTAACAAATATGTTGTGAAGTGATACCATTGTTACGACCCAAGTGTCTAGGGGTAAAGGGGTGTAACATTTAGGATAATTTTTGGAAGCAGGTGGGTTCTGGTGAGCGACTAGGAAGCGTGATAACAAGGGTTGGTGCAAAAATTATGATTTTAAGTTGAATAAGTGACTGGTTCAATACAGGACACAATAACGCACAGGGTAAGGGAACTAGAGTGGTGCCAAAGAAAAGAAAATACCAAACAAAATGGATCTGGCTAGGAAAGTGAGGGAAAGCTAACCTGACTACAAAAGAAAACCCAAAACACACGGTCTTCGGCGTCTTCAACACCCTAGCTAACCTCCACTGACTACCCAATACCATACTAGACAAATGGCACTCACCCGTACTAAACTAGTGTTACTAATACAAAGTCAACTACGTGTGTAGAATGTACCCAACAACCTAAACTAACCTTATACACAAAGGTTTACACAAAAACACAAGTGAACTAGGAATACAAATAAGGGAAAATGAGAGTAATAAACAGGAACAAGGTACAAAAGAACACAAAAGTTGAACATATAACACGTTAGGGCAAGGTAATGGCGAAACAAGGATAAACACAAAAAATCGAACGTACAAAGAGACGAACAGAAACTAACAAACCAACAAAGCCGAAGCAAAATCTAAAGCGAAGCGATAACCAAAGCCAAGTGGGACCAAAGTCAAACGAAAGGCCTCTCCCTTCTGAAAGCCCCCATGTTTTATACTGAATAAGATGAGTTCTGATTGGCTGAGAGCTGATTGATGATGATGTCATACGGAAACAGTGGTGTAATGGTGGGCCAATGGGGGAGGGAGAACAATTAAAGTCAGCAGTTTGGAACATAACAACAAACACACATAGACCACACACTGGGACGTAACAACCATGAAATAAATTTACTTTGTCTTACAAATATTTGCCATGTACTCAACATGAACTTGATAGTAAGCTGAATCAAGTTCAATAAGTTCTATTCCTTTTGGTGTTTCTAGAATTCCAACAATACACTACTACATTCCTGGGATTTTTAAAATATTTTCTTACCAGTAGAGTGTTGCCTAAATATTAATATTTTCTTGCCAATTGAACAGGTGCTACACATTAAAGATACTGTACATATCAACATACTGTACCTGACATTTGTCATGCCCTCTGCAGCAAGAGGGCGCTCCCACTCTGTCTTGTCCCTAGTTTTCTGCCTGCTGTCCTTCCGGTCCCTCTCTTTCCCTTGGGCTATATATTTCTGGGTCTTGCACTCTGTCCTCGCTCAGCATTGACGTTCGGATGTCCTGAGACCCGGCTTGCACCAGGTCGCCCCACGTCCGCTACCTGAGGGCATAGGTTTCTATACGGCACTCCTGAACTCTTTGCACTAACGAGCCCGGACCTTTTTCCCATTCCGCCGCTACGCATATGGGTCTTTTTCCGCTCTCCTTCTCTCCACGGTTAGTCCCTTTGGACGTCCGTGATAACATTTTTGTGTACTGTATAATAATTCTGATCATGATTCTGAAAAAACAGAAACCTTCTGTAATAAGTTTGCCACCAATAATTTGAAATCAAAAGACCACTCTGAAAAACATTAACTGGTCTTTTATAGTGTCTTAAAACTGTTATCAACACGTTTTTTTCTGAGGCCAGCAGTTTTAACTTAAGAAAAGTACAATAACTGTATTCCTTTTGGTTTCAAAGTGTTTGAGTACTCACAAAATACTATTCTGTCTACTTGGAATACAAAAAAAAAGACAAACAGATTATGGGCACAGCTAAACTTGCCAACAATACGTGAAAAGTGGATAGTTGTGAATACAGATCATGGTGCTTGATTTGGACAAAAGGGCATTCAGGCATTATATGAATTACACAACTGTTGCATTGTTGTTTTTCTGAAAGGCACGCAAAGCTCTGGCTGAGAGGCAGAAAGACCTAGAGATGAAAACACAACAGCTGGAAATAAAACTGAGCAACAAAACTGAAGAAGATATCAAGAAAGCCAGAAGGAAATCCACACAAGCAGGTACGACTTCAGGAGAAGAACATCACATGCAGTAGCACTACCCATGATGCCTCATCTTTACATCAGAGACATGAACAGTACCACTCCTTCCTCCCCTTTATATAGGAGGAAATGACTGTAAACTACCACTAGTTTCAGAAATGTGTAACTACTGTCAATTTATTTTTAAATAGACACTTGTTCCATACAAATGCCAGTATGATTATGACAAATAGAAAACAGTTGAATAGAATAGAGTAGCATATTCTATTACTTGACATATTGTAGCCCCTTTATATATGAAACAGATACAGTACCTGTGGACTAATAAACAGAATTGTGGCCATTTATCATTTCAAATTAGGAAGAACGCTTACTTTATGATCAGTAAGTACACCTTGGGTTGTCTTTTACAGCATTTTCAGAAAACATCAGACCAAAACATTTCCCCTAAATAAAAAAATATCAAGGTACAAACAGAGTTCGTTGAAATAAGAGCTGATCTAAAGGTAAAATCAGGTAATGTTTCTAACAGCAGGTTAGTCCTTTACAGATGGGGTGGGTGAGTTATAAAAGACAGGTTTTTTAAGGTCAGTCCCTTTGAAATTTCTACAGGTATATTGAAACTTGACAACATAAAGGTATATTAATGATCTGTTGTAATTAACTTTGTTGCCTTGATAAATACTGCACCCTCAAGGGTTAATCCCAGTTTTGATTATTTTCGTAGGAGTTATGTTTTATTCTGATTTTACGTCTTTTTACTTATTACAATATTTTAATTTGATTAAAAAGAGCACTACTATTAAATGGATGGGTAATACATTGATTTTCTACCACTTCTAACTTGAGGTATTTCTTTTGGACCAATGCTAAACATGAAAGATTTAATAATTTAAAAAACTTTACACCAGCTGAAGTGAGATTTGAAGCTGTAATATAAAGGGACACTTAATACTTAGCTCTAACACATTGCGCAATAGTTTGGCAACAGTACTTATATGGTCTTACTAAGTTATAACGGGGCCTTGTGTTGTAATGAGGAACACAAAAAACATTAAACATTAAATATTAAATATTACCATAAGAACAAACTATCTTACAGTATACAAAAAAGTAGCATTACTTGGATCAGATATTTCTGTACAAGATATTTTTGTACATGCTAAAAAGTAAGTGAACGAAGATTTTTTTGTCATAATGTTCTTAAATATTTAGAAAATAAGAACAGAGACTGTTCATCATTAAGAAGATCTGAGACAATGTCTCAGATCTGGACAAAAAACAGTCCTGTTTGTAACACAGCAATAGTATTCTAAATTTCAGGACATCAGGCTATGAGTCCACATTATTTTAACACTCTTGAAGTTCATTGTAAGGTATGCCAGATAGATCTGAAAGAATGCTACGGAAAAGTTTTAAACAGCAAAAACAATAATGTTGGTACATTGACTTGTGAAAGAGTTAGGCAAACCAAGCTGGCTATGCATCAGTAAAAACAGTAGGTGTGTCAGCAGCATTGTGTCCAGACGATATTTCGTAACAAAATACACCTTGAGAACATATGTAATATGCTATTTTGATGCTGGAGTATTAGATTCAGTGGGTGTGGGCTACTAATATATTCCCTAGTGGATAATCTGTTGGCAGTAGTGGAGAACAGCATAATAGAAAGGCTTGTGTGATTGAGATCAGCCATTTCTTAACTCAGGAAAACTGGAAACACAAACACAAACACTATAAAAATGGGAGACTGTATTTGGGGAGTTCCAGATAGTTTATCTCATCCAGTCTGAAGACTATATGTTTTGAAAAGTATCGTTAAAGCAGTGATAAGCTAAAAATAAATTGTTGCAGGGGCAGATGTTGGTGGCATCTGTTTTAAGGATAAAACTTTCCAGACAGTTTTGCACAGCAGGGAATGATGGAGATGTTGACTTACTGAATCCTCCAAGATTCTTTTATTTTTTAGACCAAAGGGAAACACCGGTGATTTTAATAAGGGATTAAGAGGGAGTTGAGAGCCAGTGTTTCGTAACAATAATTTGAAATTATGCGAGACAGCATTCAGTTTTAATGAACCAAATCAAAGTTGTGAATGTTTTAGGAGATTGTGGAGTCCAGAAAGAAGACTTAGGAAAATTGGAAATATTTAAGCAATTAATACACTTTTGACTACATGTATCGATTGTGTTTTTGTTACAGTACATACAGTACTACTCTGTATGATCATTGCAAACTGTTTTTTTTATTGTAATTATGCTTCATAATTATCCTTTGTTTAAATTAAATAATATAAAGAAAATTTAAAAGACTCCAGTCTCACAGCTCCTGGGTCATGGGTTCCTTAATAGTCTGTGCTGCCTCCTGTATGGAGTGTCCATTTTCTCCCTGTAACCACCTGAATTTTTGCCAGGTGCTCCAGTTTCCTCTTACTATCCAAGGACAGTTTCTATTAATTAGTATATCTACATGTAAATAAGCCTTTGGTTTTGTGCTTCAAATATTCACTCATCATTGGCAAAGATGCAACGGAATGGGAATGATCTGCACTATCCCTGTACCCACCATTAGAGCAGCCCAGTCTTTTTTCTTCCTCTGTCACATATAATGTGAGCCAACGTGGGAATAATAAATGCTTCTCTTTTAGTCACCAGAGGTACCCTAGAGGAAATAACATTTGTCTGTGGTAATTGAAGCCTTAAAATGCAATAGAAATGTCCACTAAATAAAAATACCTCTAAATGAGCACATATTTCACATACAGTAAGTAGGCAGTAACTAGGCTAATTATGCTATTCCAGTTTGTGGTTTGAGTTCCTAACTGTTTTTTGCACATTGATTAGTTCTCAGTCCAGTTATTTACAGTATATTGAAGGGGAATCTTCCAGCTTTCAATTTGAAAATTAATCATGTTTTGAAAAAGATGAGCATATCTAAATATACAATGCTTTTTCAATTAGATGAAAAAGTATTGCTGTCAAATGTTGTTTAGTTTCCCATTTTAATAGTCCATATGCATTTTGAAGTAGAGGATTAGTTTAGGATATTGTTCAGACAACAATGAAGCTTTTAGTTATTTCTGAAGTGATTTGTATCATATTTTTGGACAAAAAAAGTATATTTTCCAACTGTGTATCTTTGTGGATGAAGGCTTACTTTTCATGAAAAAGGCCAAGCAATGTGCATGAACTCTTTTCTCCAGAGTAGATTCGTTTCTTAGTCAAATTCATTATTTAAAAGTGCAAGAGATATCTGGGAAATAAGATTCAAATGAATTTTGGATAGCTTAACATCTTTCTCGACATCTGTTGCTAAGCAACATATTTCCATTACTCTAAACCCAATTTACATATTTACGCATATAAATTCCATATATTCTGTGTCCGATCCCCAAAACATGCCAATATTTCTTGAACTATGTGATGGAAGACAGATGTTTATGGGTTTTAACAAAATGTGACATCAGGTAGTTCTGTCCAGTTCCACATTACACTTGCAAATCATGTGTATTCTGACATGTTATTTAAAACACATTACGGTGGTGAACATAAAAGATTTACATTCTGGAGGAGTGCATGTGCAGAATAAAAATAAGGTGCCACTACACTAGTGTACTGTGTACTAATAGAAACACAAGGACTGCATTGCCATCTGCTGGAACCTGTTAGCATTGCCCATGTTGATGCTGTGCGTGCATTACAGTATACTGTATATCTTAATAAATTGTATCTGTTTCACTAGAATGATGTTCAGCTACTATATGTTGTCTCTCTCAGCTCTGTCACCCTGTTGATCCAGATGATCAAGAGGGATGTCATTACAGTGTGCAGGGTGGGAACTCTCTCTTTCTTAAGGATGGCAATGTTAAGCAGCATAGCACATGTGACAACGATGTCACATGCCTTGTCTGGATTTACCCTCAGACATGTACACGAGTCATGTACATGTTGCTGATGTGACATCATGTATCATAGATCATTTGATAAATTAGGAAAAATTTGATGATGGAAGCTACAGTATACATTATGAACACCACTAGGTAAAATCAATTGTAGCCTCATATGTTTAAAAACTTATTTTGATGGAAATGGTTGGTAACTTTATTTTGTTTTGTATAATCAATGTTCCTGTCTTTAGGCTAGAATTTTCATTTTAAAAACTTTAGATGATGTACTGATGCAGTAACTTTATTTTCTGTTAAAAAAAGTTTTGTTTGGCCTTTGGGGGTTTTAATGAGTATGTCCAGAGTACCTATTCAATTAGGAAATGCTGCAAGAAATGTTTAGATAATGGTTCATAGCTACAGGGAACAGAAGCTACAATTACAGGAAAGTGGATAGAATTATACTGTAGATGGGAATATTACCTATTTCACAAAATTCCTGTTTGGTGGTATTCACTAATGTTTGGCTGTCAAAGGTTGTAAAAGCATGCAAAAACTGTTTTAGTGCAATCACTACTTTCTATATTGCACAATACAGTCTCTTTACTGAAGCACTCTGAGTTACATCACAAACGCAGTAAAAACTGCACTAATCACAGCAATCTCAGCCTTATGAAGGCTTAAGAGATCATGAATGTATGGTATATCCTGTCGGCTGAAACAGTATCTTTCAAACAAAAATTATCAGTGGTGATCTCTAAACATTTATTCGCTCAGCAGATACCTGAATAAAAGTAATGTCATTTTTTGCAGGGATCTGAAGGGTCTGTGAGTTGAACTCTTTACCACAAAGTCAGACTAAGTTCAACTTAAACTGCTTGGATCAGGTTGAGAATAAAGGATATGTTGTTATAGTTACTTTACCACATACAGTACAATTCAATTTTGCTTTGTGAAACCCAAAATCCAGACTTTTGTCAATTTATGTTAAACTTATCCGGTTAATTCTGTAATCTTACTTTGTTAAGAAAGAATGCCACTTTTGTACATTTCATTGTATTGTCAAGTCAAGTCAAGTTCAAGTCAAGTTCAAGTTTATTGTCATTATACTCATATACAGGTATATGGTATAACAAAATGCGATTTAGCTAGCTCTCGGACATACTGTAAGTAGTACAAAGAAAAACAACAACAACAACAACAACAATACAATTGTATAACAAAAGAAAGACAGAGACAACAGGCAGTGTGCAAAAAACAACAACAGGCAATGTGCAAAAAACAACAACAGGCAATGTGCAAAGCAGCAAAAAGGTAACAGGTTATGTGCAAAAACATGCATCAACAGAATGAAATAAAGGGATAGAAATTATGGGGAGTGAGCTTTTGACATGTATGGTAGAGGTAGATTTTCAATGTGTGTTTGGGTTTTTGTTAAGAAAGAAAGGAAGAAGGCACTGTGAGGTTCAGATCATAGGTGAGAGGTGAGGTGAGAGTGAGATACCTGATACCTAAATAAAAGTCACATACTGTATGTCATCTTTCATGGATGGAGTTACAGTACTTGCTCAAACAATGTGTAAATGGGGAGAGTTAGCAGTATGTGCCACCTATCAATGAAGTCTTGGCTGTTTAATTACCCATCTTTCATAACTGAACTTGATAGATGTCATTCTTGACATGTTGTTTGATGTTCTGTTTATTCCAAAATGGGCCAGTTAGTAACTTGATCTTCATCTTTATTTTTGCATTATTACTTTTAAAAAAACTCAAATTTTACCTCTTTGAGAAGAAGTACTACATTAAAATGAGCCATGTGGGTTACAGGTAGGCACCTCTGATATAAGGAACATATAACTTCTGGTTTGTAATTATGGGAATAAAAATAGTTTTGCAAACCTGAAGAGATTTCAGAGGCAACTATTCTGACCTGTTTACACTATACATTTTTTTGGTCCATCCATTTTATTACTGCTTCTTGCAGTTCAGGGTCATGGGGGAGCCAGAGCCTATCCCAGCAGTCAATGGGCACAAGGCAGGGTACACATATACATTCATACCAGGGCCACTTTTCTCAGAAGTTGATTAGCCTACCAGTAGGTCTCTGGACTGTGGGAGGAAACCAGAGCACCTGGAGGAGACCCAGCACTGGTCCCAAGATCAGGAATTGAACTCAAAGCCCCAACACTGTGAAGTTGCAATGCTAACCACTGTGCCACCGTGCTTCCTCATTTTCATAATAATTTGACAGTAAATTTAAATTTAACAGTATTTTTTTTTTGCAGGTGATGACCTCATGAGGTGTGTAGACCTGTATAACCAGGCCCAGTCCAAATGGTTTGAAGAGATGGTGACCACAAGCTTGGTATGTTCTAATAAGATTGATTTTCATTTTGTTTTACTTTCTGAATTTGTAGTAAAAAAACATTCAGAGTATAATTCCAAGAATTATAAAAAAAAGTTATGAAGGCAAAGCAACAGCCACACCGAAGTAGTGCTTTGAATGGAATAATAAAAATCTCACATTAATTCTTAATGCAGGCCATTTAGATCCACTACAAAGTTATTACATCTGACTTCATTTTAAGTACAGTAAAGTACAAGTAAGTCTGTAAAGCACTCTGTGGTAAAATGTTGGCATTTACAGTATAGCAAATAAAAAATTGAATGAAACTGTTTTTTAGCAGGCAGATCATCCTTATCCAGATTGATCTGCAGTCTATTAAATGTTAATGACAAGACAATTATGTAAGTATTGTACATGTACTCTCCATGCCACAGGATAAATTCAAAATGTTACAATAAGGCTAGCACAAAATGGAAGTGAAATATAGGTGCTGCACTAGTCATAATTAGAAGTGTATAAAGTGTGGTTAGAGAACAGGGGGCTCTTTCACAAAGCAGTGAACTGAATAACTTTACTAAATGTTGACAAAAGTCTGGATTTTCAGTTTTGTGAAGCAAGATTAAGTTGAATCCGGTTAAGTAACTGTAGCAACATACTGTATGCTCTATTCTTAACCTGTTCTGGATGAAAATGGATGAAAAGAAATTGAAGAGAACATCAAATCCATTTACAGTTCACTGATCATTTTTATTTGAAAGATGCCGTTTTAACAGACATATTGAGGTTAAAAATCATCCCAAATGGTGTTTGCTGTCCACTATACTGTACAACCCTGTTGTTACTTCTCATTTCTGTTTCAAATGTCTTAATGTATTATAATATTTGGTTATTTGTAAGTATATACAACCATATTTTCTAAATTTTCACTGAACACATTCTATAGAATGTAACAAGATACAGTAGATCAGGGGTGCCCAACCAGTCGATGGATCGCAAGAATGTTTGGAAAAAAATAAAAGGGCTATTTGATTATTTGCTTTTTTCGCTCGCCTAAACAATTATTCAGATCTGTGCATGCAATGTCATGCATTTTACTGTCCTGGTGTGTGTTTAACCATTGTAGAATGGGTTGTAAAATCTCTTCCCTGAGTGCTGGTTGATACTGAAAAAAGGCTACAGGAACTCCGTAAATGGAGTGTTGTATGTGCTACCCAAGAACCTTCTCTTGGTTATTGCCGCACGAACCCCATTTTCGCTAGTACATAGTAGTAGAGCGAAATAGACTGGTCGTGACAAATTCGCCAACAGTTTGATGAGTTTGATTGCCTATTTGATTGTTGTAGTGTTTGAGCGAAAATGATGACGCAAAGAGACCGAAAACTTACCGTTACCACGGTAAGGAATGGGAGCATGATTATTTCTTAGTACTTTCGTATTAAAATCGGCAATGCTAGCATCTACGCGAAAAAAGAGAAATACAGAACAACATTTCAAAACTGCGCGCAAAACGTATGAAGTGAAATTTCCCGCTTAAAGTGAGTTACGGAAAAGAAAAGTGGACAAATTAAGATCTCAACAAGCAGCAGTCGGTTTTCATGGGGCCTAATACAAGGGGGAAAGCGGTAATCATCGCATCGTTCCGCGTGAGCCACGTCATTCAGGGATCGAGAAGTAATAAAAGCGTTTGCTGTGGCTGCTGACTTGCTGTTTGGAGTTTTCAAAAACAAACGGCATGGTTCAGACAGCTGTTAATTGAAATCAAAGAGCTTCTAAAGTCGTCTAAACATGGTGAATATGCACAATTAGAGGATTTAGCATTCTTCACAGACTTGACTGAACTGCTGAACGAGCTGAATGTTGAGCTGCAGGGACTAAATTAAAATGTTACCGACATGATCAGCAGTGTAAACACGTAAAAAAAAATGATAAATGTTCTCAAGTAAGCTTCTCAGTACTAATGCTCACATTAAGGTAGGATACTTTTTTCCTCAAATGTGGAACATTACTTTTTCACTGTAGCATGAGTCACTTGCTTTTTTTTATTTGCTGTAATTTAGTGATGGGTATAGTTATTATACTGATGTGCCCACAGCCTGTTTTTCCTATATCAGAGCTTCAGATTCACACTGGTAGATCGTGCTGGACTGGCAAATGAAAAAGCAGATTACATTAAAAAAGGTTGGGCACCCCTGAGATAGATTATAGTAAAATCAAAGACTGCAAATTAATGTACTCTATAGTAGACTACTTTTTGAAGTCACAACAAATTCTCTGTAAAAGATTAAAGATTTTAACCTAATTTCACACCACTACTTTATAAAGATAACATCAGAATCAGTGAACAATTAATCTAGTATCTTGGATATTTTGAGGAATGTATTGGACATTTTTTCTAAATAATACAGTAAATTCACCAGATTTTGGGAATATGTAAGTTTGAAAGCATATTGGTATACAAATATGAAATAAATGCATAGCTAATGGATTAACTTGGATACAACCGATTCAATTTAAAAATTCACATTCACTAACACTCAGAAAAATATTTGTGGTCATTATTCACACCTTCAAAGTAATTTTACAAGCAATGGTAATGCATTTTCAAATGTACTGTCAAAAATGTGCACCTTATACTTTTAAAGCTCGGTTCAAAACTCAATACACTGGTTTACTTTGAGATTGTCATTATTGTCAATTGCTAGGTTAACAATTTGTCCAGAATGAAAGAGTACAGTTTACCAAGCACAGTATGTATTAGCATACTACTATCAGTGATATCTAATTCCTTCGCCTAATAGCCTAATAATTTAATTTTTCTCTAGGAGCTGGAGAGACTGGAGGTGGAACGCATTGAGATGATACGGCAGCATCTCTGTCAATATACAACGCTACGGCATGAAACAGACATGTTCAACCAAAGCGTAAGACATCTCCTTCTATCCTTCACATTAGGCAAAAAAAAACATCCGGTCATGCAAAGTAGACATAGACCTTGTTTAGAATGCATGTTTGAGTTACTATAATAACTCTTCTTTTATTATATAATTCTTTAAAAAGAGTAAGAAGTTACTTTACTTTTATAATATTAAATTTGGGTTTTTCCATTTTGTGAGAAAAGTTATGATTGGTGTAACATAAAATTTCACCCTGGTGGTGGAAACAAGAAAACAGCTGGAAACCTGTACAATGTCCTTTACACTTTTTAAAATGTATTACTAACAACCAAAGTTTTCAACCTGTTATTGGAAAAATCATTTATTTGGCTTATTTAAACTCTGAGAACAATAAACAATTTTTCCACACATTAACAAACATTTCTATATAATCAAACTCTTAGTAAAATTTCCATTTCACTGATACAGAGTATTATAGATTTGATATTACCTTGCTTGGATTATTGTTTAGTGAAAGCACACTGTATGCCAAAGCAAATCGTTTTCAAAAATAAAAATAAGAAATTAAAGAAATACTACACATAATGAAATGGATAGAAATGTTTTCAAATGAAATCAGTGCTGTAAAGATAACATTACTGTATGCTATAAAACAAGGAAAATAACAGCCATCCAATTAAGTAAAACTGAAAATCTAAGCATAATAAATGTGTATACTCAGAAACCAGTATTATTCACCTGTATTTTGCTAAATTTCATGATAAATGCTACAAATATTACAAACAGCATATCTCTTTGTTCTCAGTTACAGTATGTGACTCGTTTGAGAAAACACCCATAATCATACTAGTTCAAGTACAAGTGAAACCCGAAGAAGGATCCACAGCCAAAACATTGTCTTTCTTTTCTTCTCTTTTCAGCATGGAATAAACCTTTGATAATCCCCTGTACTCCTTTATATCAGCGGTGTTTGGTTTTTGCTCCAGCTGAGTACTTAATCACAAGCTAAATTATTTCAGATATTAATCACGTTGGTAAATTTGCTTTTAAAAGGTCAAATGAGATTTGTAATTAGTATCAACCCTCTGCCAGTTTCTGAGTGTCAGAACTTCTCTCCTTAATCAAGTGTGCTGCCTGAAATGTTACCAACTGGAGATCTGTATACTGAAAAAGGCTCATTGACTGATACTTTGTCACTGCCACCTGTGTCTGTCCATCATCAGTTGATCAACTCGTAAGAGCTGTTCAGTCCAAAGCAGTGGAAAGCAAGTTGAGGAAATGCTTTGTTCTGTATACTGATGTTGTTGGAAACAGTACCCTTGAAGCTGAGTATTGTTGATATTCATGATGAACTTAAGAAACAAATAAAAGTTTAAATAAGCAAATGAATTAAATCAGCAGTTAACGCTAGTTAAATAGAATAAAAAGCAAGAAGCAGTGTTCCTCTAGGACTAGGTTTGGGACCCACAGCTTTAGATCAAGACATCCCTGCATTTAGTTATACAATAACATGCATCCATATTTTTCTTCACAACTCAGCAGTTGAAACAGTAACACAGACTTTCATGTAATAGCTTATTTTGAAAATAAATCCTAATAAATAACACCTTTGGTTCTCCAGTTCCTGATCAATTAAATCCATCTTTGTTCATATTTTACCTTCAATAAGTGCCTAAGTCTCTGCAAACATCTAAGAAATGTTCATACTGTATATGAAAAGGCTTATAGGGCAGCGACCCTATAATAAATCTACTGAACTACACATTTATCTCCTTAAACCCTTCATGGCAAACATTAAGCTGAGTAAACTTCTTTCTTCACTTGCAATTTTCTAATATAGTACATCTTTGTTTTTTTTCATTGCCATTTCCAGACTGTGGAACCAGTAGACCAGCTGCTTCAGAAGGTTGACCCAGCAAAGGACAGAGAGCAGTGGGTGACAGAGCACAACACAGGCGAGATCAGACCTATTGACCTGGAGATATAGACAAGCCGCCAGAGATCATGGTTATATGATGGTTTAAATGACAGTTCATTGATAGCAGGTTGAAAGATTTTATATGAAAGTTGTGCATCGGATAGGTATAGTAATGGATACATTTATTTCCTCAAATATAATTGAAATACGGTAACCTTTTATTTAGAAAAAATACAGAATCTTTTTGTTGATCTGAACTGTTCTCTACAAAGGGGTTTTGACAGACTCACATATTCTAAATAGTTAAAATAATCATTGAAAACGCAACACAAATTGAAAACTGATTATTACTGAGTCGATAAAACAACACTTGCGGCTATAATGTAAGCATAGTGAAAATGACTAAAATTAGGGTTAAAATTATTTTATGTGATGGTATGATTCTACATGACAGAGGAGTTTTATTTTAAATTTCAGGATCCATTCTAAAGGTTACAGCCTTACCAGTCTGATTTATTTTGTATTGATGGTCAAAGAGCATTTTTTCTATAGTGCCTTTTTTAAAGAAAGAAGAACAAACAAAAGTCATTTATAAGTTAACATTACTCAGCTGCTGTTCATTTACTTTTCTTGCAGATTAATATCTGTGTGTTCACCAGTGCTGGTGAAGAAACCTTTCGCTTTGCATGCTGAGCATGTATAATATCAACATAACTTCACTGAAATGCTTTTGGCTTGGCAGATTCCAATTAGCATTCTTCATTCCAAGACTTATACAGGACTCCTGACTACACAATTCACAAGTATAGTAATTCGATTCACAGTCTGCTTTGGTGTAAACTCAATACTTTACCTTACCTAGCATTTTTGTGCACTAAAGATGTTGAAGGACTTAAATTATTAATACGTAGTGCTGCTCTGAAAAGAATTGTACAAAGACGTAAGAAAAGCAACTTTATACTGTACATGTCCTAGTAATAATATTCAGTAAATGTATATATCCTTTTTGTCAACCTGTTGTTCATTAACCTATTTTGAGAATGACTCCAATAGTAAATTGTACTAATAATACCTTAACACATAAGGACAACAGAAGTAAATAATAATATGGGCTTAATTACTCTGAGAATACTTTTATTATTGTCAACATAAAGATTGCTGAGGTGTATTTGAAAATAAAGCAGAAAAGAATTTCCCAATGGCTGTAAAACGTTGAACATGTCCTATCCTTTATGGACTTTCATTGTAAAATGGCAATTATTTAATGTCTAGCCTCAAGCTACAAATATTGCATACTACACTAAAAACAATACATTGTGAGTCATTAATACATTTAATAAAAAATACCTCTTATAGTTACAGGTCAAGTTACAGGTTCTGATTCTAAGAGGTCTGATATATTTAATTAAACAGTGGCTTATGAGGCCTTATTGTATGCTTCAATATTCCTGGAATGAGTCTATTAGAGAAGGTTAATTATATTTTGTTAATTATCTTAAGAATATAATATGGTAATGACAAATGTTTCTCATGACATTCACAGATTCTTCCCTTAGATCTTTCAGTACTACAATAATTTTGAAACCAATTTATTTTCATCAGATACCTAACCAGAGATTACACATACTGTAAAACTACAATAGGTAATTTTCCCAGCTGGGTACAGTATGTTCTTGATTATAGGTCTGTATATTAGTGTGTTGGTGTTTAGTGTTTGAAATGTATGTGTACGATAAACTAAGCAAATATTTGGTTCCTTAACAATTTGTATGAGTCTTGGTGCCTGGAAAATAAAGAAGTTAAATGGAAAACCTCAAACTGTAAAAGAGTCATCAGCCACCACGACAAAAAATGTATATATTGGAAAAGAGATTTTGTGAATGTTCTTGTTGTTTTGCAATACCTGCAGTTACCATTCTGAAATGTGTAACGTTGTGGAAAATGTGAGGTTTTAGTGGTCTTGAAAAACTAAAATATTTTTATATTGCTGTTCTGAAAGATTAACAATACATTTTAAATGTTTTTAACTTGAATATTAAAATAGATATATAAACAAAATGCATAAGCAAGCCACTCAGAATTCCAGTCTCTCTGTGACCTTTTTAATATCAGATACAGACATTAAGGTTAATTAGCTTAAAAAAAAGGAATCTTTTGTCTCATAAAACATGGTTATATGCCCAATTTATTATTTTCCAAGCTTAGGTTTTGCTCAATTCATTTTACAATACTGGATTTTTTTTTTAATGTTACAGTTGTATAGTATATTTTCATATGTATCATTCAGAAACAGTCATAGTTCTGAATGCTAGGGTGGATTTTGTAATATCTAATATCTGCAATTTAACTATAGGATGAATTCAGAAAGGCATTAGGGAATCTGCAGATGGCTTTGCCAGCTTGTATGATCATTGCTACGTGCTATTTTATTTACTTACAGCAGGTGTCAGTAATGTAACAAGAAAGACAGGAGCCCATTCTGGTGGAAATCATAAAAATAAAATTGCATTTTCATCTAGTACTAATACTACCTAGTAGAAGGAATAACTGGAAAATATTCATAGTGCCTGTTCTGAGACAGAAATGTAAGTTTGTATTATTTTTATTTATTGTTTTCTTACCCGAAGGTACCTTTTGAATAGTTTTATAGTTACTACATTTTGACTTTAATATGAGAAAGCCCTTGAACTTTCATTTAGTAAAAATTTGTATTTCTTGTACTTTTAGAGCTAATAATTTTAAGAGCCAAAGAAAACTGTTTTACACTGTTTTAACAAAAGGTAATTTTTTAACACGTTGCAAGACTTTTAACCATATCCAAAACTTGTACAATTAATGGATTTTGATTTTAGCAGTTTTTGTAATGGTAATTAATAATAATTAAGGCATTGACCTTGAAATGGAAACTGAACCTCCCTTTGGAATATGGGTTTTGATTATACAAGCTTTGGCTAATGTAAACCTTATTATCATTCATGTTAGGCAACTTTGGCATATTTATATTTTTTTATCAAACTAAAGCTCATAATGAAATATTATTTAGGTTCTAAAGGAACAAGTAATAAGTTTATTCCATGCTTAAAAGAGAAGAAAGAAAACACAACTTTTCCGCTGTGGAGCCTTCCAAAGAAGGCTCCATAGCCAAAACATTGTGTTTTCTTTCTTCTTTTTTCAGCATGGAATAAATCTATTTCTTCTTCCTTTGGAGCCTATGCATGCTGACACAGCTACCCACCTGAACAACTTATTTAGGTTCTTGTGAAGAATTTGCCAGAATTCGTACAAACCTAATTTACATTCATATAAATTTCATTCCAAACAGTAATGTCGTCAGGATTCTTCACATGGTGATACTAGATTTTTCCTTTATTATGAAAGGTGTTCACTTGACAAAATGTTTAGCAACCTAACTCGATTTTTAATGAATATCTTTATTAAAAAGCTTTCACTGTCTGTGAATACAATCAGAATACAAGCTCCTATATGGCGTTTTAATTGTCTTTTTTATTGTTAAAATAAATTTTAAAACAGGATTTAATTCAACATAATCTAGACATAACTGTAGGAACTGAGCAATTATTTCAAAATTGTACTTGCTGAATTAGAACAGTGACCATGGCACATACTGTATATCATAACATCCATGAACATATATAATATTGAACCACAGTATCTATTTTTGTACAAAGAGTAACAGAAACTATAATTTTCTCTCAATTTTCTCTCAAGTGTCATTTTAACTGGATACCACCTCCATATTTCCTACATGTTATCATTCATTAACACTGGCACAATTTTATATGTTCACTTTTTTTTTATCTTGGCTTGGAGAGACCCGAAATATTACAAATGTACTGTATATATGTTATTATTGTTTGATAAATTGTATTAATACTTCAATATTGTGCAAGCTGTAATATGGAAACTTGTTCTGTTTAAAGTATGTAACTAGATCATTGAAAGATTGTAAATGTTCATATAACTGCTATTAAGTGAATGTTTTTCATTAATATAAAATATATTGATTAAATACTATGTCAGAGTAATTGTGAATACATTTTTCTTTTTTATAATTTACATGAAATCTCTTTTTATATCCTTTACATGCAAAACAGATTATGTAGCAGGCACTTACTATTTTGAGGGGTGCACTTTTTTTGTTCTGCAAGGGGGCTGTTTTGTTAACCGTTCAGATGATGACAACAAAATGCAACTTGCACACAGATCTACCAAAACACATTAAATTAGAAAAGCACTGTCCCATGGCATTTTGTAATCACATTGGATCAATTAAACCTTATTTGTCAATGACTGTCCCTTGTGGTGAAGCATGATGGTCTTTTATGAACTCAAAGATGACAGATAAGCCTTGGGATCTGCACACTCTCCGGAAGGTTGAACAGGTATCTTCTCAGGAGAAATTTAATGATGTCTGAGATATAGAAAACAGGAAAAACCAAGGCAATGCGTAAGCCTCCTGAAAATATTGCCAGTAGCCATATCACCCTGCAACTCACAACTGGCAGCCTACTGAAGCTAAGCAGGTGTGAGCCTGGTCAGTACCTGGATGAGAGACCTCCTGGGAAAAACTAAGGTTGCTGCTGGAAGAGGTATTAGTGGGGCCAGCAGGGGGCACTCACCCTGCGGTCTATGGGTCCTAATGCCCCATTATAGTGACGGGGACACTATACTGTAAACAGGCGCCGTCCTTCCGATGAGATGTAAAACCAAGATCCTGACTCTCTGTGGTCTTTATAAATCCCAGGGTGTTTCTCAAAAAGCGTAGGGGTGTAACCCTGGCATCCTGGACAAATTTCCCATTGGCCCTCATCAATCATGGCCTCCTAATAATCCCTGTCTATTAATTGGCTTCATTACTCTGCTCTCCTCCCCACTAATAGCTGATGTGTGGTGAGTGTTCTGGCGCACTATGGCTGCCTTCGCGTCATCCAGGTAGATGCTGCACATTAGGTGGTGGTGAAGGGGAATCCCCATTACCTGTAAAACGCTTTGAGTGGAGTGTCCACATAGATAAGACTTTATTAATCCCGTAGGGAAATTGCATATTGTAAGAATGAACAAAAAGACTGATAGATGGAAAATGGAAAATGCAGAATTACTGTAAGATAAAAGGGGCGGTGGAGTGAGAGAGCCACCATACTTATCTATGATCATGGCAGGAAGGCTGTCAATTGCTACAGGTAAAGTACCTGATAAATTCATGTAACTACAAGATATAAAAGAATATCACATTTATAATTATATAAAACAGTTTTATTAAAGAACTAAAAAAACATTTTCACAGTCCATACAATGACACAAAGTATTGGATACAATTTTATGATGGTAGTGTTGGGGAAATAGTGGAGAATATATTAAATGCAGTAAACCATGAAGACACAACACAATGTGGAATGTCTCATTTATTTAACATTTTAAGATATGTTTTTTAATAAAGATTAAATATATTTCTGAAGGTTTTGAACTGATATCAGGAGTGCACTGAAAAGGGAACATACAGTACTGAGCAATGTGCAAATAATGACTATAGGGAACAGGAATAATAAAATATTATAACATTCTAAGGAACATACCTCTAGCTAGAATTTCAAGGAAAATGCTAATATCTGACATTATGCAAGTCATTATTCAGGAAAGAAAGATAAATGCCAACCAACTTTTACTATTAAGTGTGATAATTCTGTGTATTTAAAATACGGCATTAGAATATTGAAAATATACTCAATTCTACAGTATATCCACATTTCTATTCTTGACAGAGGTTTATTTTCTGAAGGACAAATATTAAACAGGGAGCTTCTTGTCTTAATTCTAAGACAAAACCCTGAAGCTGAAGCTTTTTCTAAAATCAGCGTGGGCTGAAATATAATATGTAATAATATACAGTATTACATATTATATGTAATGTAATTTATTTTTACTCATTAAAATCTGTAGGTTTTCTAAATGTTAAGTAATATATATATAATTTTACTACATGCCATACTGTCAAGACTTATTCAACGATTTCTACTAAAGCCTATTTTTATACATTCAGTACCACATGGGAAACCAGAAACATAGCAAACAGTTCAGTGTGACAGTTCAATTTCACAGCACAAATGTGATTCAACAAATTATTCAATACTTGATTAAGAGGAAAATTAAATCAAGATTTCAATCTACTAGTCAATCTCAAACTCCAGAGTGCTTTCATATAGGTAAAAGCAGGAACTCTGTGTTAAAGTAAACCAAAGACTAGGCTTGCACATTGTGACTGGTACAGTAGGCACTTCAAAGTATTCATGTTTGCCTTATGTCTTAAGTTTGTACAGTATGTCAAACTTAAAGTTTTTTAATGGTAAATCTGGGCTACACTTATTTAACATATGGTAAACATATTCTATGGGTGCTATTTTTCTGTATTAAATATTCAGAATTAAATTTCGACAAAAGAAGATACTGATAATGCACTGGCTGTGGTTCATATAATTTCTGAATTTTCTCAGATGTAGAATTTCATTTATAACTATAAATGTGTAAATTATGTTTTGACCTAACTTTATTAATACCTTTATTAAAAATAAAATTAAAACTTTACAATATGCAAAAAATGCCAATGTTTCATTAAGTGTTCCATTCCATTAATTCTTATTTGCATTTTCAACATAGGGTCTGTAGCTTTAGCTGATGCCTTTGCTGTGGATCATAGTTAACACTCAATTAAGAACAATATCAGCACACAGTAGTAGCTAAACAACTAAAAAAAGTGTAAGACCCAATTTATGGCAAGAAAGTTTCTAACTTTGAGAGCTAGAACAGTGTCTCTGCAATGAATGACCAATCATAGACATTATCAATTGGCAACAGATCAGAAGAAGTATTAACAAAACAAGTTTCAAAATGTCAGTGCTAAATAAACTCAAAGATCACATGCCAAGCACAGATCCTTGGTAAACAAATTAATATCCATGTTACAGTACAGTATTTCTGTGTGGAACAGTACAATCATTACATTGTAAACTAAATAACTGTTAAGTGATGTGGTCATAATCTGTACAATCTTTTTTTAAAAGCTTCCTGCAGTACCTTTCATACAATCCATAATACATTTCTATTTGATATTTTATAGATATTTGTAGAAACTCAGTCAGGCAACTTTAAGTTCTCATGTGATTAAAAATACTTGTTACCATAAAACCAAAACATATGAAATGGTTGATGTGTTTGTATTGTTACACCAAAAAACAGTGAACACGGGGAGACTAACAAAGGACACAAAGAACAAAATAGTTGTTTAATCAAATATAAATGGAAATGTAAGGGTTTTGGTTTTTAGTCAGATAGTTCTTGCTACTTGGTTTGTAACAGGTTTCAGAAGACAAAGACAACACCCCACCTCTTAATTTTTCAGCACTGGGATGCAAGCAGATTAGAGCATTCTTTGGTGTGAATCTTCTGAGATGAGGGGCAACATCCTGGCTTTTAAAGTAACATTCAAAATCAAAACCCCCAAGCTGGAGGAAGGCTGGGGTATGGGAGGGAAAAGAATACAAAGCAACACATTCTGAAGTGAAAAGATTAATGTGTTTATACAGGGTCAGGAAATTAAGTTTACATTATTAATTGGGTGTTGTCTTCTCCCCTGAACTACTGCTTTTGAACTCCATTGATCATTTTAACATCCTACTCTACTTTAACAACATATCTGCCACTACTCAATCATGAGCTTTTTCAGGGAGTTGAGATAGGCAGGGATGAGTGATGCAGTGTCGTCATCATTTATGATCTTCTCTGCCCGACCCTCTGAGCCTGCTGAGCTTGGAGACCTGACAAGAGCTGTGAAAGGTGTGCTGTAACCCTATGAAGACAGATACCAAAAGGCACTTTACATTTGTAATATTGCTTAATGAAATACATTTGCTAGAAGTATCTACAGTGTTAGTACCTATTCAATTGCTGCACTTATTAAAACACATAGATCACCTTTTCTCCTCATTTTGACCTTAAGCACAAGAAATAAAAATGCTTTAGCAAATGGTTGAAGGAATGATCAGGACAGGGCAACATAGTTGAAGACATATTGATATCAGAATGCCATGGCAATATGGGCAGTGCTTCAATCATTGGAAAAATATACCTTATCTCTTTTTTATTTAATTAAGAACAGCCTCACAGCTTTTGGATCATGTGTTTGATTCTGGGCTGGCCTTCTGTGTGTACTCACCATGGCTCTTCCTAAACTGTGGCTGCTAGGGGTATGGAATAGATTAATTTACTACAGTACCTGTCTTGTAGATCCTTAATAATGTACAGTGCAATATTTTATGTATGGTTAAAAAGAAATGTCCTTGAACAAATTGTGGTGTCTTTGTCTGTATTTGGTTTGGTATCATGTGAAGGTTTCTCATTCAAATTTAACTAACAAGAAAAAAAGGTAGAGATGCACATACTGAAGAGTATCCTTTGCCAAAGCTTGCCCGGTTTTTGGTCCTGATCTTTGTAAGGGCTGCCTCTGCAATATCTGCTCTCTCCTCAGCATCGTCTAGTTCGTGGACTGTCTTCCTGTACTTGGCCAAATTCATATTGGCTTGTTCCTCCTGAAAGGGGATAATAATAATAATAATAATAATAATGATGATGATGATGATGATGATGATGAAGAACAGGTAACTAGATCTCGCTATTAATCTGAAGAATGAATACCACCTTCACCAAACTTTATAGTATTATTGATCACGGTTTGGACCCTTGAAGTTCCCCAAATGTTCATCAGACAGCATCAGATAAACAGCCTTTTAAGATCAGCCAGGATTTCCCTCAAGAATGCAGACTGCTAAAAATGTTATGTTCCACAATAGTGGTGGTTGTTTTCTTAACAACCAACTTCTTTACTAAACCATAAAAAACCCAAACAAAACACGTCAGAGTCTAAACAAAACAATCAAACCGGATTTATCTTTCTATATACAATGTTTTACAGTCTCCATTTCCATTTTTCGATAGTACCATTGTTTTGAGGGCAATAAAGCTACAAGAGATGTGGGTAACTAACATTTGAATACATATTTTCAGTTTCTAAACAGAAGCTAACGAACCTTTGGTATTTTTTAAGTGAAAGATTATGCTTGCTGAAATAATCTATGAAAACTAAATGTTATTCAATTCAAATGTTTAAAAATACGGTTTAATTTAAATTACTATTTTCAAAAGAATTGCAGAAAGTCCTGTGATTAAATGAGGAACTTAATGATTGACTATTCATTTTACAGCAAGCTTTGCTTTAATTTGTTATGATCAAGCAGTTAACACATGACAGGAAATAAATAATTGCATTACAAATTATATTGAAAGAGTGGCAGAGCAATCTTGAAAACATGCTAAATGTGAGTGTCTAATTATTTCCTATCCTATTTAAATAATCTTAATTTGTTTTTTTGTGTTTCCAATATAATTCTCTAAATACTGCAGGGAAAAAATAACATTGTGATCATTGCTGCAAGTGAAATGGATTAATATATACCAATAAAATAAAGCCTATAGCATTTGTATAGATTCTTGTTTTTTTAATTAGGTTTTGAGTGAATGAAGTATTTACTTAGAGTAAAGGTTTATCTACACAACCTGCTGAGGTGATTTCCATTTCTTGAAACTTGACAGTACAGGTACTGTACTGTAATAACTCACTAAATGTATTTTGTTTGAAAGACTAAGTTTATTTGTAGCAAATGCATGAATTGAGAAGATTAAAATAATAGAATGGAATGATTTTTAATGCTTTCTCATTTGTTGGCTTAATGAAGGGGTTATATTATCATCCGAGGGCTAGAGGACTGAAATAAAATCTTAAATACAAGTCATGCAAAACACAGTCCCCTTATCATTATTGAGATTGAAGAGAATAAATCCACTGCATCGTTTGAACCATATCCTGAAAATAAACTGCAACCCTATTCAGCATTTAACAATTCAGGTGCACTGAAAATGAATTAAAAGGCTGGGAATCTCAATATTTCCATTGTATTGGGTTCATACCTATTTTAAGTGATATCAGAAACATGTTAAATGTTATTAAAACTCCTTGAACAACCATCACAACATGTTTTACAAGTTGCCACTATTGTTAGGCTTTTCAAAATAAACAACAATAAACTAGAGAACCAAGGAGTAATTGTTCACTGTTTTGGTTCACAAAAGTACTTTCTTTGCTTGGTTTTATAGGTGTTCCATTAGAAAAGGATTAATTTTATAATAAACTTAATAATTGATTAAGAGTAAATCTACTTTTGGGGATTTTATAGATATTTTAGAATATTTTAGCTTGCTTGTGAGGGAATAAACTAAAAGGTTTTTACTATACTGTACAGTGTGTATTATATCTTGTAAACTACAGTATATATCCTTTTACTTACATTTTACTAAATCCGTCTTAGGATATCTGGTCTCAAAAGATAACTTAGCCACATGATGTCATGACATAGTTCACAGGGAAATGACCGAATGACCTCTCCTGGAACAAATGGTCAATTCAGCAGAAGGGGCTACTTGTCACGCAAGCTGGCAGTAAAGGATATATATGTAATGGTCAGCTTTTGAGAATTACCATATATAGCCACAATGCAAGCAGAGAGTCATGTGGGATTGTGCCACACGATGTAAGACTTCCATATGCATATGAATAAAGACGACTTTCAACACACAAAAGATCAGCTGATGCCGTGTTTTCTGGCAGTACACTTGTAATCTCCAGATTGTTTAGGTACATTGTTTAAAGTATCTAAATATTAAATACATATTAAAGGCAAATAGATGGGATAGAATGAAAAGTTACAATGGACAATACTACATATACTGTAATATGTCACTAAGCATACATGGGTCTCAAGATCCCCAAGATACCATAGGAGTCCATTAATTCATGGCAAAAGAGCTTGATTTTACCAAAAGTGCAAACACCATGGCAGCAAAACTCATTCTCATGCCAAAAATCAGTACAGTACCGCTTCCTCTACTTGTCTCTTGTAGGCCTTCATCTTGTTCTGGAGCCTCTCTACCAGTTCCTGCATCCTCTGCTGGTTCTTCTGGTCTTCCTCGGACTGAAACACCAGTTCCTTTAAGCGCCGCTCATTCTTGCGCAGCGTCTTCACAGTCTCAGCATGCCGCTTCTGCTCAGAGTCCAGCTCCATCTCTAACTCCTTCACCTGAAAAAGAGCAGAATGCAAGTGCCTGCACACACTGAAAAGAATACTTAAGTAGGATCCACCAGAGTGTCACATTCTTTGTGATGCACTGAAAATGGAGGGTGGAGTGGTGGCTCTGTGGCTAAAGATCTGTGCCTGTGGCTGGAAGGTTGTAGGTTCAAATCCTGAGGAATCCTATTCTGTTGGCCCCCTGAGCAGGGGCCTCCAGGGACATTGTATAAATAGCTGACCATGTGCTCTGACCTCAAGCATCTCTCTCCCTGTCTCTGTGCCTGTATTTCTCATGGAGAGCAAGCTGGGGTATGTGAAAAGACTCTTATCTTAAAATTGTTTGTATTCAGATGAGTTTAATACTGAGACTGAGAAATACAAGTAATACAGTAGATATGTAGAGAACTAATGTACAGTTAGGCACTTTAAACTACTGCTCTCACCTACATGTATGGCCACTTTACTAGAGATTGTGCGCAAATCAGAGAAAGTGGGTTAATCAATAAAAAAATATTTTACCAAAGCTATGCCTAATAAAACTTAATTTCCTAACAACTATTTCCAATGTTTTCTTGGTGAAACTGGAATATCAATACACAGTACATTACACAGGAGACATAAATATTAATATTCTTTTATTTGCTATTCTGCAGTATGATTTAATTAAACGTTTGCCTTTTTATTTGTCATTGTTAGAGACAGAGATACAGTAGATGCTAACCTATCATGTGTGTACAGCACATCTTTAACTTTATGATAAAATAAATGTTAAATTTACTCATCTAAATTTTCAGAACTCATTAGAGTTACAATCCACACTCTATCTTATACTTATTTTTCAAAATGTTTAATAATGTCACTACAATAAATCATTTACCTCTATGAATATATTTAACTCTGCTTTTCATGGTTTCTGATTTCAGAAATTGCTTAAGACAGTATGTAAAATGCAAAGTGACAATCATGAAATACTCCAAATACTGTTAATTAAAAATAGACATATAATTAAAACTCAATGAAAATATGAAAAATATTTTCTATTTTATCAACAACTCATTGAAAATCAATTAAACATGACTGACTTCTCATACAATATGACTATGCTCCAGAGAAGGAGGTTTTTAATTTTAAAGGAATTCCATGACCATACTACTCATCCTTTTTCCTATTTATTATCATAAAACAGAACTCTATACACTGCTTCCAGATTCAATTGAAATACTGTGGCACATACAGTTAAAGCTCAGTATCACCACAAATCCTTTCACAGTCACTGCCTTTTTCAAGGTTTGTTCAGTTATATCTTGAGCATGAACTGTGGTTATGACTTTTATCTAATACCCACAGCTGAAGAAAGTCAATGTGTTGTGGTTATCATAAAAAGCAATTCTCAGTTCATCTCACCAGAACAGGCATGAACAATTGGTATGAAACAGCACATCACCGCATTCATGTGAAGTGTTTCATAAGGGAACTGTGGTCAAAACAAGCATGCAAAATCACCACATAATGAAGTCAAGAATGTATCATGTGCTCTTCTCTTTTCACACAGGCATTCTTACTATTTAACATGATTCATATATGTTATCCTTAGCACATGATTTACAGTATGTGTGGTGAATAGAGTCTGCTATAGAAGAGTATTGCACATCAGCATATTAAAATACCTACTCTTGCTTCTAGTTTCTGTATGATTTTCTTGCCACCCTTCAATGCCAGCTGCTCAGCCTCGTCGAGTCGGGCAGTCATGTCCTTGATCTGAGCCTCCAGGCCCTTTTTCACTCTCTCCAGGTGCAAAGTGTGTTCCTGCTCATGGCGCAACTCCTCTGCCACTCTGGCAGCCTACAATAAGAACCATTGCAATGAAAGGATTATTTTCTGCTGTTAATGGACCACAGCAAGTGATGTACTGTACAGGGCCAACTCTTTTACCCAAACTGAACTTTGGCCAGCAGAGACTAAGGTTAATTAACCTTTGACGACAATGACAAGAACACCATATGCAATTAATACAGTATATTTTATAAGATGGCCATGGAAAAACATTAATTATACTAAGTAAAATCCTCCTGGACTATTCTGAGAATAATGGATGCAGGCTAAAAGGCACCTCTTTGGGGTTATCTATGTATACACAACACAATACACGCTCTTTATGCAAAGAGTTGTGTTCTACTCAGCTATATTTTTGAAGATGATACTGTACCTGGCTTCTTTCAAGAAACAGATGGATTAATAATCCTTGACCCTTGGATTAATAATGTACTGAATACCAAACAGGCTGGAAAGGCCAAATGGCTCCCTCTCATTTGCAACCATTTCTATGTTCTTAAATAATAAACAAATGATATTCATATTATACAGTATGTTGATGAAAGTAATGATGTGTGAAACCACTCTAGGAAGGATATCACCAATCGTGAATGCTACTGTACATAACTTTCCATTTGCTTTTATTCCTAGATCGTATGGGTTCTGAGATTCAAGTGTCCCTCCTTTCTTTTGAAATCTGTAAGGCTAAAAATGATCACATCTCCATAAAGAATTTGTGTTCTGATTACTTCTACAGAGGACATGCAAATATCTACCCAACAGTTTTTCAAAGGCAGAAGGAAACTCCCAAAGCATTTGAAAAGTGAACACAATAGAGTCTGTTACAGTCAAACCTATCTATTCTCTTGGATATGGAATTCATGAGATTACTTAATATTTTGCTATAGTCATCTAATCATGTCATGCTAGTTAGCTAACTGAAATCATTCATGTCCCAAACAAAAAGGCATTATGGAGGATCCATTATATTAAATCTGTAGACATACAGTACCTCACATGTGGCCTTTTTAGCTTTTTCATCTGCGGTTCTGATCTCACTGTATAATTCTTCATGCTCTGTGGTAAACTGCTGCAGGTCAGCTTCCAGCTTTCGTTTCAGACAGGTCACTGACTGGAACTGTATTGTAGGCAAGACATACAGTATCACACATAATAGGTGTGTTTGCTTGAATAGTGTGCAGAATATTTCCACTCTATAATATTTCACACTCTATTTCAGGATACATCTCTTCTTTAGTCTTAACAATGAGCTTTTGTGCAGTTAAGGGTGTGCCTTAACTTTTGTGAAGTTAAGGGTGTACATTATAAATAAAATGTGTTCATATAAAATACTAAAAATAGTTTACATAGGATATAGAAAAAATAAACAATAGACAGTAGATTTTGTCATACTTTAACAACAGTTTTCTGCATACCTAATGCTCACATTTTATGTTAACTATATTCTGAACGTTTAGTTAATATGTGCTTAACAAAAACATCATCTGCAGTGTACTCATACGAGGGTGAATCAAAAAGTAAAAAAATCAAAGCAACTAAAACAAAGATGAAATTGTCTACATTCCCTCCAGCTTCAGAGGGATACAAATCTCTCTAAAAAATGAAATTCAGCAGATTCTTGCATCTGTTAATAAAATTCATCTTCATGTATTACACATAGTATTCAGATCAGTGCTTCAGATGCTAATCTTATCAATCACTATCTTCTTTCTGCTTTGCTGACTGGAATGACTGGAAGTTCTAATACCAAACAAAGCTGATGCTACTATAATATTTCAAAAGCACCTTTTCTGTCAACTACCTTAATGTACGTTTCATGCAGTAGATGAAGTAAGGACATTTTTTTTCCTACAGAAGCTTCCTCTCACCTGACTGTTAATTTCATTGTATTTCTCAGTCATTTCAATTAGTTCCTGCTCCAGGGTTTTGCGGGCTCGTTCTGTGGCATCCAGGCTGGTGCGGGATTCTTCAGCCTCAGTGGCAAGAAGGTTACAGCGGCGCTCCATCAGGTTGTGCTGCTCCCTAAGCTCCTCGTGATGCCTGGAGTCTTCCTCTATCTGTGCCTGCATGTCCTGAGGAGACAAAACACTTTTAAAAGTCAGTCGTGCACTATTAAAGGATGACACATTTCCAATTTTAATCCATCCATCCATTCAATTCAGGTTCTTAGGGGAACCAGAGCCTATCTGGGAAAGCAACAGGTGACACCTTGGATAGGACACCATTACATCACAGGACACACACAGAAACAAACACTCACACACTCACGCCAGGGACAGTTTTCCCAGAAGCCAATGAACCTACCAAAATGTTTTTGGACTATGGGAGGAAACTGGAGCATCCAGAGGAAACCCATGCAAACACAATACACAATACAAACTTCACACAGACAGCAGCCCAGGTCTGGAACTGCATCCAGTTCCCCATTGCTGTGGCAATCCTGTGAGGTAACCACTCTGCCTCGCTGCCACTGTGCCGCCCAATCATAATCAAATCTACAGTATGGAGAACTCCAGGGTCACTTGAAAAACCACAATGTCTTTGGTTGGAAAGATTTCATTTAGGATCAGCAACAACTGCTACTGACAATGCCAAAGAGTTCTGAAGTAGACTAATTCAGATTGTAGTCTCCATGCAAATGCCTTTTCTCCTATTGGAAACTAACAATTGATTGAAGGTTTTTGTCAAATTAATACAATCAGGATTTGACAATAACCTAAGGGAACATTGAGTCCTAGTTCTGTTTCATTCTAAAATTGTACTTTATGGACTTTGAATTTAAAAAGGTTGGATTTTTTTAATAACATAAACATTTTTTTAAAATTATGACAGGATCACTAAAGATTTGATTAAATTATATTTTAGATACAGTATAGAGGACAGTTTGAATATACAATACTGTAAGATGACCATGCTGAGCAGCACTGTCTTTACTGTACTTCACTTGAGAAATATCCCTATTAATCCAGCAGATGGCAGTCTAATGTTGTAAAAAATGTAAATAGTATAAATGCTGAAACTAAACTATGGTATGCAAAAGCCTGAGCTAGCAATTTAAATACCATGTGTTTATAGAATTCTTTACTAAATTGAATGTGGCAACCAGTGTAATGAACCACTACTGCTTCTTATTAATATATCAAAGTTGCTCCATTGTTTCTGCTTTGTCAGTGACAGATTGGTATTAAAATAATTATTTAATAACATTTACATTTAATAAGATCTCCGTTATTACAAACTGTACAGCAGCTTCTGTAGCTAAAACATCTTCATTTCTAGATGCTTGATGTATGATTTTCTTCTCCAGAGCAATTGTGTTCATACCAAATTTCAGACTCTAAAATTGTGTCACTTTGTGTGGTGTTTCTTGATGAGCTGCCTGACAACCAATAACATAGCTAATAACATAAGCAGAATATCAGAATATTATTAACTCTGGACAGAGAAGTATTAAGTGTTTTGATGGCATGTGTTTTGGCAAACAAGAAACAAAGACCATGCTCACTTGCATGCTCCTATAATACAAATATGTTGTTAGATATGTCAGTTTTGTGTTCAATGTCCTAAACTGTGCAATAGGTTAATTAAAGACAAAGTAATCAGGACCTTGCGTTAATGTCTTATCTGAAGGATGGTACCACCTACAGAGCAGTGTCTACTATCATCATTAATGTGTAAATTCTAGTCCAGAGATCCAGCAACAAGTGAGCTCTGGCATGTGTGATCAATAAGAAAAAGTAAACAGGCAGCTAGTGCTAATTAGTACACTTTGGTAATGACTTTCCTAGCAACATGCTGGGACACACCTGCTCACACATGCCCTGTACTGAATGTCAATTTACCTTTATCTGCTGCTGCATTTTCTTAGTGGTCTTCAGCAGCTCTGCATTGTTCTTGGTTACCAGGTCCAGTTGGATCTCCAGCTCATTGACATCCCCTTCCAGTTTCTTCTTCATGCGCACTGCCTCTGTGCGTCCTTTTACCTCAGTGTCCAAGCTAGCCTGCAGGGACTCCAATGCTCTTTGGTGGCTCTTTCTGAGCAGTAGAGAGTACAACAAAGAGCCATTAGCTCCTCCAAACACTGATATACCTATTTTAGAGGGCATATTGGCGTCCATGAATGTCATGGCACGACAATGGCAGGGTAAAGACCATCAGTTACAGGAGATTATACCGTGGTAAAATAAAAGAAATGGTTGATTTATAACAATGTCTGGCATTCTTGTAAACTGTACTCAGCTCTAGACAAGGCAGCACAGGTATTGCAAAGTAATTTTCATTTATTTTTTCCCAAAAGCTTCCAATGCTGAATGGGTATAGTCACAATGTGAAGTTGAAGGCACACTGTAAATGTTAGGGGTACAGGATTTAAATAGTCAGGATACCTTATCATTTCACCTGAACTGCTTATTACGATTTCATCATACTGCTTGGAGTAAAGCAGTACTCCAAGTAATCTATGAAATGTATTTTGGAATGAAAAATTGTTTTATTTTTATATTTAAAACAACATGCAAACTTTATGTTCCCTGCTATTTTTAACCATCATAATTAGGTATTCCTTATCAATTGTAACACTCTACATACTGTAACAATGATTTGAGAAAGGGTAAGTACACAAAATAATGTACTATATGTAGTACAATTGATTTAAAGAAAAACATGTATTTCTGATATAAAATAATTGTTTGACGTGCATTAATTCAGTTTTTTGTATATTTCAATTTTAAATATCTAAAAATCCTGATAATTTAAAACAAGATAACTGCAGTCTATGATTTTTTAACACAATCATTATATTCATTTTTTATTCCACAACATTCATTCTATGTGGATTGTGTACAATTTATTTACAGAGAAAGAGAATTAAATGTTGATGATGTAGTTTTTTATATACTGTATGATCGCTCTGAGCCAGTGCCAAGTGCCAGTGAGTGACAGCGATCCACAAAAAAAAAAACATTCCCAAATGCTATAGAATTATGAGCTCACCATAAAAGAGAACAATTTCCTTGCATTGGGAACAGCAGGCAAACAGGAAAAAAGAAGGAGCCAGTGTTAAACCAAAACTAGGCAGATAGTCAAAGACTGTGAAATGCTTTTAAAAGTATTGGCATAATTCAGATTAATAACTGAAATCAGAAGAAAGATTCAATAAATGCAACCACTTTGAATTCAGAATATTAAGCAACTTTGTTCTGAGTTCAGAACATATCAGGTCACTGTATGATAAACATACGCTCCATAACATATCTGTAATACCACAGAATTACTGTATATTCTTTAATACCTAAATATTACTTTTATCACTTAAGCCTTCTGAGCTAAGAATGATGCTTTCCATAAGTACCGAGATGCTTGTACTTTTTTTGCATCTGTAGATGCATACAGATCCATATGGAAAAACTGGCATTGGGCTATAAGCAACATAGAGTAGAGTAAATTTGGTCTTATGTGGATTACTAGAAACAGCAAAATTCTGTATTCATTAATTTAATCCTAGATCCTGTATGCTAGGAAATTGCGTGATATAATCTTAGCATGTTTTATCCCAAGGAACAATACTGCCTGTGTAATCCACAAACAACTCAAAATCCACATTTACTCACTTTTTAGAATAAATAACATGATGTACAGTACGTGCCCAATTAGTTACTTATGTAAAATGCAGATGTTGCATTTTCATTGTACAGTAACTATCTATGTTTTCATTGATAACTAAGTAAACTAATGATTTGAGGGCCAGTTGTTGAGATAACCATTCTTGCCCAGCCAGGCCATGCTTTATAGATGAGTGGTGTTCTTTGGAGCAACAGGTCTCCTCTGCAGTTCCTTTTACATCCATAATTTAGCATTTCCAGCACTTAAGTAAAAGTTTATTGTGGTTTCATCTGTCAATAAAATCATTCCAGAACTGTCCCAGCTCATCTTTTTACTAACAAATACATTTAAAAATATAATGGTGATAATGCCCCAGCATGGAAATACATGTTTGACTATGAAATTGGTTCACTCATTTTTACTGATGATCTATTAATGATGGATGATGATGTAGAAAATGCTTCCATACAAATGGAGCTTCTCCGTGTAGCACAACAATGAGCCAAAGCATACAGGCAATGCAATGAAGGAGTTTTTATGGGGGAAAAGTGGAAAATCTTAGATTGGCCAAGATTCCAAATTTATCCAGATGAACAAGTATTATTCCTTCTGACACATAAAATGAAGTCAGAACTCCCCCCAAATAAGTAAGAATTCAAAGTGGCTGCAGCAGAGTGTCTCAAATGATTACACAGATTTTGGTCAGATGAATGGGTTGCTGTTATTGCCTCAAGGGGATATGCAATCAAATACTGACTTTTATGCACTGAAAATGACTTAATGTGAATGTGTGAATGTACACATGATACTGTATCACTGGGTTGAACATGCAGTATGTTTGTGTTTTATGATCAAACATATACGGTACTGTACAGTATGTGAATTTACCCCCCCCAAAAGTGCATGCTATACTGTTCTTATCATTTATATAAATCTCATGATCACAGACATAAATTGCTTCGTATGATCACAAATATAGACTGCATGATGGTTAAGCAAAGTGCCAATACTTTTGGAATGCGCTGTACAGTATATGAAAATACCTTTGGGCTATTTTACTGTATAAAATATTTTTTTCATCACGCTAAATTTACTATGCGTTCTTGGAAAAAACAAAATTGTATTGGTACCAAATCAACGCAATACATTTAATCTTCGTTTACAGACATTTAAATTGATATTAATAAGGATTTATGTATAAGTTTTCAACTCCACTATAAACCCATTAAAAACATATGTGAAGTACGTATGTGTTTTATATAACCTCTAATCCCTCTCCTCATCTGGAATATATATATATACAGTATATATTCTTTTAAAATGTTATGAAAGATAAATAGACAGCTACAATATAAATCTGTGGTAGATTATGCTCTTTGGCTGAACCCAGCTTTCAAACTGCATGTTTAGTTTTAGTATGTAGGTGCTATAATAAGTATAAGGAATTAACTACCTAGTTCCTTCAAACTCTTCCTCTTTTTCTTGGAGTCTCCGATCTACGTCTGCCTTTGCCTGTGTCAGTTCCAGCTGCAGACGCATTACCTTGGTTTCTTCAGCCTGAGGATTAGGATGAAGGTAAATTGTAATCCATTACATAAATTCTGTTCATTGTCCCATTTCAGCTGCTCCTCATATAACATCTGACTGATGGTCACACGTCTAGGACAACAGTACACATCTGTCTTTAATGGTCTTGTGCTTTTCTGTAACTGACTGTAACTTTTCTGTACCTTTCTGTAACCATAAACAGCATTAGCTTAATGAAACAGCTTAATGAACAAGAGCTATTATCACATGTAAGACTTGAATATAGAACCTATAATGTGAATACTTAGATAATAAAGTGAGTTGGTGAAATAATGAATATAGATTCTGAAATGATGAGGCTGGCAGAATGGTCATAAAAATATGAATATGAGATGTAAAATGAGAAGAAATGGACTGTAACAGCCATAGTTTTACTCCAGTAGGATGTATACATACTGTAAATCCAACTGTATTTTTTAACACTAAAAATATTGTCAGTATTTAGGAAAGCCTTGTAAATGAACATGGACACAACTGCACTGACAGCAGCAACCAGCAGCTTTTCTCTGTGTTACAGTACATTGTAATGAAAAAGTAAATGTTAAAAAATATTTCTACAGTCTTAGGTGCATGGAACTATGTCTAAGGAATTTCTGCTAGATGCTGTAGTTCTAGAAGATAGATGGTTAAAGATAGACGGTTACCTATAGAAGATAGATGGTTAACCATCTATAGAAGATAGATAAAATAGCATTCACTTGACACATTTTTTAGACAAAAAAATACTTTTGGCAATACAAGCATGCAGAACTAACACTGCCCTCCTTACAGGTTTTCTAAGATAATTAGCCTTGGGGGTACAAATAAAGTCAAGTGAAGTGAGCTCAGTATTTTTTTTTATTTAAACTGTTAGTGAAAATCCTTATCAGCATTTTCTATGCAACTGGGAAAACCTTGCATACTGTACTCTAAAAATAGATTTGAGAATCCAGTCTTAACTGCAATAACACATCCAATTAAATGAAACTTGTAAAAAGCACTGAGCATTCAAAATCTGAAGAAAGTGAGTACAACAAGCAAAAAATAAGATCAATAAATTCTTAAATGTTACCTTGAGTTTGCAGTGTTTCAAGAACAAGACAATGTGTAACAGAACTGAAAGAATATGCTAGTCCAAATCAAAGCTACCATTTACAATTTCACAATTAACACCAAAATGTGGAACTGTCCCATAGCACTTCTACCGATGTACTGTAACAGGGTATATGTGGCATGAATCTGCCATAGTGATGTAATTCTCTAGGACGCCCAAGAGGTTTGAATTCTCCTGCAGCAGGAGACGGGCATTTTGACATAGTGATGTTTACTGCTAATTGGAAAGGTTACCACAGTTCTTCCAAAACAAGACTAGAGAATGCTTGAGAGACAGGCAAATTAATCCCCTCTCTGGGATTTATACACACGAAGCCATACTGGTTGTATACTGTAAATGCCCTTTTCAGAACGCTTTTTCTGAATGTACTTGTGTGTGCTTTATTTTGTTATTATCTCCAAGTAAAGACTCTCATTTTAAAATTACAGGGCTCAGTATGTATTGGATAAACTTTCTAGATTCAAAGGGTTAAATTTAAACCTACTGGTACTATAGAAGGTCTCCGAACCTAAGACCCAATTGATTATAATGATATGAAAATGATGTTCCAGTACCTCCAGAGCAGCCTCAGACTCCTCCAGTGAAGCCTGCAATTCTTCTTTCTCCATTTCCAGCTTTTTTTTCGATTTTTGGAGCTCATGAACACTTTTTCCTCCCTCGCCGAGCTGATCCGTTAGATCAGCTATCTCTTCTAAAATGAACAAAACATGGTATTCAAATTTAATATATCAAAAAGTATGATGTTTTATGATTAAATTAGCAAAATAGTATGGGAGAGTTAAAAGATTATATGAAGCCACAAAACAAACAGATATCATTATATTGTTTTATGTTTAGATATCTGGGTGGCATGGTGGTGTAGTGGTTAGCTTTGCTATTAGAATGCCATACGCATGAAGTTTGTACTGTATGTTCTCCCTTTGTTCACATGGGTTTCCTCAGGGTGTTCTGGTTTCTTTCCACACTCAGAAAACTGTGGGATAACTGGTTTCTGGGGAAATTGGCCCTAGGTGTGTGTCTGTGTTTGTGTCTATATGGCTTGCGATGGACTAGTGTCCCATCCAGGATGTAGCCTTGCACCCGTCCCTTGTTGGCACAGGCTCCAGCTCCACTGCAGCCCTAAATTAGAAGAAATGGTCATCTACTGTATCTAATCCTGTTCCATCCAGTTTTATGAATTTTTAAGGATAGAATTATGGTTCAGTATGTTTAAATAAATGAAGGTAAATATCTTACCAGCATTTCCTAAAATCTACTACAAAACACGGTCAGTTGTGCGAGAATAGACCATCATGGCATGTGTTCAGTATACAACCACTTTTGGGATTCTTAGACATCTCATAAGACTCACCTTGAAAGGCTTTGTTTTCCCTTTTCAAAGCTTCTATTTGCTCAATAGCCTCCTCATAGGACGTCTTCAGTTTGAAGAGTTCTGTGGCATGTTGGCGACACTCCTTCTGACAGCTGTCCAGCTCTGCCAGGATATCCTCACATTTCTGACGCCAGTCTGACAACTGCTTCTCCAGCACACGCTGCTTCTTGTCCAGAGCTGCTGCAGTAGCATTAGCCTGAAAAGAAGAGCAAATAGATTTTTAGACTATATAAAACTATATTCTATATAAAACACAACACACAAGTCTATAATAGATTTACAACTCCAGCTTTGAAACATTTAGTACTTTCGGACATGAGTTTACAATAAAAAAAGATTAGTTCCATCAACGCCTCTGCATGTCAGGTAAGAAAAGGAAGAGACAAAAGGCATTAGTTGTAGCTTTTACAATATAGTCAGTAGTCAACAGTGCCAGAAATAACAGTCTGATAATAAAGTCTGCTGTGAAAAGTATTGTATAAAAACTTTAATCAGATCACAAGACCGTTTCATAGAATTGCCTATCACAAGAATCAAAGCATTTGGTGTTTGTATTGCGTGCATAGAATATTGTTTTTTTCTGCTCAGTTTGGATATACTGTATGGTAAAAAATAAGGGGACTGGAACATTTTCTACTTTCTCACAAAGATGCAGTATTTGGCCTGTTAAACCTGATGACAGACACAGAAACTGAATATGTCCACTATCCATTATTTGTAGTAAAGTTTAATGACTATTATTTGTAAATCGAGTCTTATTAATAACAGATCTTTTTCAGAAAAAAGAACAAATAAGAACAAAACATTTCAACATCCCACCATAAGTAATACCCTACACAGAGTCTCCCACCAAGTCCAAGCCCCCACCATCCTGTCCTCAGCACCTTGGATGCAAGCAGATGGCTCCATGTAAAAAATATCAAGTTGGGATAGGATGAAATAATGCCAGGGAAGAGAAAGCAGGGGCTCCATACAGAGTGCCAATATCTTTTTCTTGCAGTTGGATCAGCCTACCTAGCTACCATTAGTGGAATCTTTCTCTATCATTTTTTAGAAAGAAAATGTTAGCTTTGCATTTTCTCTTGGATGTTCTGGGCACCAGAATGGATTAGTGGCGTAGTGTCATGTGACACGTAAAGAAAAAAAAATCAAAACAAGTTGGTATTCATGCAGGCAACCTGCAAGAATTACTTATTAAAGAAATTGAATTGTGAGCATGTCAGAAGAACTTCAGCTTGTAATCATAGTCAGTAGAAAAATATATGCTGAGAAAAATCAAATTATCAGAGTCTGAATTATTCATGCGCTTAATGGAAGAGTCCCTCAGGGAAGTTTGTCAGTTGTGATACTGTACCTAGAGGCATGAAGGAAAAATTAAGTTTGTCTTTGTGCTATTCAAATGTGCACAAGTGATGCCTCCTAATGTTTTTTTTTAAATATGTTAACTCCGTCACTGATTTCAAATATAGTGCCAATTAAAAAAACATGACAGATTGACGATATTTAGGTTTTTCTGTAAATTGATTAATCCTGTGTAATAATTTTAAAAAGCTATGGGGAAAAAGCATATTATTGAGCAAATTGTTATTAACCCAATAGTCTCTTAAATTTTAATACACACATTCTTCTTTAATAATAATAATCAATATTTGTAATGCATCAATGCTCTAAAAAGTCCAAGTGGTGATAGAAAATTTAGAATGGGTTAGTGGGATGAAAGTAACACATGAAATATTTTATACTTCCTATAGCCAAAGTAAAAAATACAAAATATTTAATTTCATAGTTTTATAGCATTTGAATTATTTTTTATTTTGTAGACTATGATGGTGAGTCTTGGTTAGGACTACCAAGTTGTGTTCTTTATTTAGGTTCTGTACATCCTGACTACATCAGTTCACCCAGCTGTATAAATAGAAACCAGAATTGCTAGTAACTCTATGATGAACCATGTGGGGTTGTGGGGTGTCATCTACTCTCAGCCTGTTTAACATTACAATAATAAGGATATGATCCAGTCAGTAGAGGGACCTTGCTCAGAATGAGCTTTACTTACAGTACTCCTTTAGAAACAGTTTGCAATCAATTTTTAAAGCTAAGCATTTCTCTAGCTATTTTCAAAAGTAAAAAAAAAACATGAATCCTTAATGTTTTCACTAGTTTTGTTTCCTAATGGAGCTTCTCCTACCTTTTCTAAGTCAATGCTAAGGTCCTCAACTTCCCCTTGTAATCTCTGTTTGGTCTTTTCCATGCTCGAGCATTTGGCCTGAGTGGCCTCCACTGCTTCTTCTGCCTCTTGTAACCTTGAGGATAGCTTTTTCCTGGGAAAATAAAAAAGAGAGAAATGAAAATGAAAATGGAACAAGTATTGACCTACAGTATAACACTGGAGAACAAAGTTCAGATTAACTTCATTTCACTTAAATGAGACAATGAGATCAAAAACTACATTTAATTTTGCAGGAAAATTCACTACACTTTAGTTTGGTAATTATGAAGAGCAGCCACTCACATTTAATACATTGTTTTTCCATTTTCTGGTTCTTCTGATGCAATTTAGTTGGATTAGCGTAAATTAAAGAAAATATATTTTTGATTTGTCAGATTTATTTTGTAATACAGTACACTACATGTAAAGTACGTTTTACTATAAAACGTAGCTTTTGCTCAGCAAGATCATACTTTGCATCCTCCAGTTCATCTGTGCGCTGGATGGCATCAGCTTCATAACGTGTTCTCCAGTGGGTGACCTCACTGTTGAGCTTGGACATCAGTCTCTGGAGGTCCAGCTTGCTCTCCTGCTCTTCCTCCAGTTGCTCTTTCAGCATCTCAAAGTCATGCTTCAGGCTGGACAGACTGCTGCTGAGGGAATTCTTGGCCTGAAACAAAAATACCATACTCGACTCCAGTTTGCACCCAAACAATGACCAGGTTTAGCCATGTTTGCACCAAAACAGATCATAATGGCTTAACCACTTTGCTACTGTTTATGTAGACAAAGAACTATAATACTACAGATATATCTTGCAGTTAACAAAAATAAGAATTAAACAATGAAGAGAAATTAAATAATCATAAATAGAAGTATGCCACAACGGAATGTATATGATGCAGAATGACATTAACATATATAACAGATATGATAACAGATGCTTATACAAAGGGATGTATACAAGTATAGTGTACAAGTGTAGCTTGAGTACAAAATCATACTTAGACATGCACAGTAGTTGTCCCAGGTACTCTGCCAGACCCACATTTTTCCAATAGATGGTGAAAAAGTATTGTTTTCAAACTGTGATGTGAAGATTTATGAAAAGTAATATATGATCCTTTTCATAAATCTTCACATCACAGTTTGAAAACAATACTTTTTCATAAGTAATATATGATCCTTAGTAAATTTCTTCCTCATTTGTGGTTTCTGCATCCACGATTTCTCATTCTTGCAGCTTAAAGGGCATTATAAAAACTTCTATCTCTGAGGCTCAATTCATAATTTGAACATCTTCCACAGTGTTACCCTTCTCAGATCTTTTTTTTCCCAGTATTCACATTTTTCATTGTATGTCGACAGTTCAGGAAGACATCGGGAATAAGGAGAACTGAAAGTTTATACATTAGACACTGCATATACAGTACCTTGGACTCTTCTTCAAGTTGCTTCTTGAGATCTTCACACTGAGAAGCCAACAGCACCTTTGTCCTGTTGGTCTGACTCGCTCTGTTTTCTGTTTCTTCCAGCTGTCGGCTAAGATCATTGTTCTCAGCTTAAAAGAAGAATGGGGGTTTACTTAATGTGAGGTTAATACCAAATACGCATCGGAATGGTTCATCTGAAATCAAGTTATTTGCTTTAATCTAAGATATCAACCAGTATTTATGAATATTTGCCATAAACACTTATTTTTGTCAGTTTATACTGATAAAAGGATAACAGAGAGTGGTTGAAGGTCAGACACAAAATCCATCTAGAACTATGAAGCCATTTATTACTGGTTAAAGTTGTTGATACACAGAGACTATCCCAGACTCATGTCCTGGTTTCATATCCCAGAATCAAACTAGATAAAGATAAAGGCTCCACAGACAAAACTTATTTCCTTTCTTCTCTTTTCAGCATGGAATAAAACTATTACTTGTTCCTATTTTTCATAATGTTTTTTTCAAAGTGGTGCTAATGAAATCTGAAGAGGTCTGGCACTAGTTACAGATAATTGGGCTCCAGCTGATGTCAAGAGAGCCTTTCTTCTCACTCTTTAGAGGGCCTGGACAAAGGAGATTAGTTTTATAAGTGGCATGATGAGGCTGGTGAGAAGGTTAGAGTACACCATTTCTGAATTAGGAGCTAAATTGCACTTGAATGAAACACAACGGAGGACAAATGGCCAATAGCCTTACATTCATCTTATGTTACTAAAAAACATAATCCTCTAAATTTTGGAAATAACTTTGCAGACATTAAAAACTTAAAACAATATGTGACTAATGTTACAGTACTTGACTCAACACTTCAAAGCAAATGCTCAGATTCTGACCATGTCTGGAAACCATTATTTAAACATCTGGACCAATGAATACTAAATGCTTCAATCTATCAATTGAAGTTCTAAACAGCATCAGCTGTAGCCACTATTACCTGCTTTTCAAAGTATGAATATGATTTCTGAATATACATTTTGTACATAACCTGGTCTATAAACATAATAAATGTAATATCAATTATAATATAAATATCTCAGATTTTGTTTTTGTTATTTTTGCAATCGTTTATTTCAATGTATTTTCTTGATTATGAGGATGGTATTGCAGGGACAGGATTTGGGACCTAGTTATAGGCCAATCCTTGTATGGAAAATAATAAGAAAAACATTTTTTTTTTATTTTTCAAATTTTCTCTTCACTGTAAGACACTGTAAATAAAGGTTTATTTATTTTAATGACTGAATCTCTTTTTATGATTTTGTTACCCCCTCAACAGTAAACCTGGTCCGTCTATTGCTGGTAATCCTGTAAAAAAACACGATATAGCTCTGGTGGCACAAAGCAACACAACATTTATGATGGCATTTCTCCAAAAGTTCAAACTTCAAATAAGAGAACTAACTGAAACAAAAAATAAGGAAGTACAGTGGCTTAACAAAATTCACAAAATGAAACGCTCAAACTTTCAACAGTTTGTAATTTTTCCAACACACGTTCTTTAACACAAAAGGAGCTTAAACATCTTTCACCACCATCATGTGTCTTCCTCTAATAAAGCAAAGGAGCTTGTAAACATGGCTAAGGGTGAGTAATTGGTTTACTGAACATGCACGGACAACACAGCAATGGATCAGCATTCACATGCTGGTACTGTAAATCAGTCTCCCAGGAGTCTACACACATAGAACCAGCCCATCATATACATCAGACTGCTAAGGAGGTTAAAGCTTTCTGACAGTGGTATGGATTTATTATTAAATGGTCTGAAATGTCAGTGGTGTGGAATTGATACTCCATACAAAAGCATGTACTGTAGAACACCTAACAAAATATTTTTAAATGCATTTTTTTATTTTCTGTACCTATTATCCGGGATTTGGCTACATTCAGCTCTGTCAAAGCCTTCTGTAATTCCTCATTCCTAGAGCTTGCTTCTGTGAAAAAATCTTCCAGTTTTCGTATTTGAATATCACAGGAAGCCTAGTAAAGAAAGAAAACAGTAGTTTGATTAAATTTGCCTGATATGACTAATGCAGCATTTTATATGCCACAGTTCTCTGCTTCTCCCAGATCACTTGTTTGGAAATACAGTTTTTGTTTTTTACACAAATCCTCCATTAACAAAATTTAAAGACATGCTTACTATTGACACATGTTCTATTAAAGTTCTCTGTTTTGTTAACCCAAGTGTCCTGGCAAAATTTCACTTTGGTGTTACAGAACCTGGTCAGCCTACTGTAAATCTCCTTCTTAATTCCGTTTCACAAAATGGTGATCAGTGATATCAGTTGTATTTCTATTGATAATGTACATACAGTACGTAAGAATTTAATGTAAGATATCTATAAGTATATGTAAGAATGTTTTAAGAATCTTTGTAACTTGTTTTTGTTGGTGGGCTTGCGAATGGAAAGGAAAAATAATATAAATTTAGGTGGATAGCTGCGTCAGGGCTGCAAAGGAACAAGTAATAGGTTTATTCCATGGTGAAAAAAATAAGAGAGAAAACACAACATTTCAGCCGTGGAGCCTTCTTCAGGTGTGAGAAAGACAAGGCAGTAAGCACAGGTAAAGTAGCAGGAGAACAAAAGCTGGGAGAGAGGAGGAGCGAGAGGCGGGAGCAGGGGGCAGAAAGAGAGGCCAATAAAGAGGTGTGAAGTCAGAATAGGTATAGAGAGGTGTGAAATGAAACCTACAATGAATAGAGAGAATTTAGAAGAAAAGTAGTCTGTCATTAAGAGAAAGGGGAAGGTGTGATCCTAGCTGCAGGATAATTTTGGTTTCTGTAGTCTTTCTGATGTATGAATTTGGAAAACCGTCTTTGAGAACACAGACAGAGAGATTAGTGTGATCATGGCTGTCAGAGGTGAAATGAGAAACAATGGGCTTGGAGAGATCTTTAATCTTCAAAGCCCTAACATGTTCTCTGAAGCGGTCTCCTTCCTGTTTCTCCAATGTAGATGGCTGGGCATTTATTGCAGGAGATACAGTAAATGAGGTTGCTGGAGGTACAAGTTGCCATCTGGGTGATCCGGAATTGTCCTGAGGGGTCTTGAATGAGTGTGGTGTTAGATGTGTACTTGCAGGTGATACAGCGAGCTCTGTTGCAAGGGAAAGTGCCTGGTGTGGATGGTTGCTGAGGGCGGTCAAATAAAAATTTAGTTTTACAAAAAAGTGAAGTTCTTCACCTTATTTGCTGCTTAGTGGGGCTTCTACCACACAATGTCTGCTAAGTGCAATTAAGGTGGGTGTTAAACTTCAAATTATTTGATTTAAAAAGAACAGAAGAAGAACAGGGCAGTCCAACACAAGAAGGACTGTAAATATCTTTAAAGAACACTTGACCTTGGCTTTCTGCATGTTTTCCACAGTGGCAGTCAGGTCTTCAATTTCCAGCTTCATGTTCTGCTTGTCTTTCTCTAGCTTGGCACGGACTCTCTGCAGGCTCTCGTACTGCTCAGTCATGTCCACTACCATGTCTGCATGCTTCTTGCGCAGGGATGAGGCCATGGTTTCTGATTGCAGAGATGTCTCCTCCAGCTCCCTCCGAAGGCGCAGCAACTCAGCCTCTCGCTTCTTATTCATGTCCATCTGAAGAGGAAAGCAGTGCCCAGAAGAAGATACACTCTTACTCTTACACAGAGGACACACTCCTACTTTACACAGTACAGAGGTTATAGATAGATAGATAAGACTTTATTGATCCTAAAGGGAAATTGAGGATGTATTGCAGGGCAACAGTTTCTATTTCAAATTGGCTAAAAAGGGCTTTTTTAATTAACTACCCACATAAATGTTCAGTTTCCTCAACAAATTTAACTTGTGGATGCATCAAAACTAAATGGAACAAAAAATGTAGGCCCTGTGGTTCTTGAGGACTGCAGATTAAGATAAAGTTCATAGTGTACCTTATTGTGACACCCGGAACCTGTTTCCTTTAGTTGTGATCTAAAATTACATTTTATTAACTTATATTAATTATTTTAATTGTTGTTTTAACACTTTTTATACATTGCTAATTTTGTGGAGTTCATTGATAATGAACAGAATGTCCATCACTTTGGATGAAAACATGAACTTAATAATGGTTTGAAAGGGAAGGGAGTTTCAAACAGAAACTCGCTCTTTGAAATAACACTTGTCATTGATTTTTTTCTTCCTGCAAAAAAAATATTCACGTTTATTTGTCTGCAATTGATAAACGAAAGCAGCAGTACAGCACCTGGGAAGCAGTGGCTCCTCCAGCCTCCTCCAATCTGTCTGTCAGGTCATCAAGCTCCCTGGTCAGATCAGAGCGCTGTTTCTCCACCTGACAGATACATGACACTGTGACACCCAGCGCAGGAGCTGTCCCTCATCACAGACATAGAGAGTAGTGACAATAGGTTGAACTGCCAATAAATGAAAAACCTATGGCGAACATAAGAATATTCAACACATTTGTTTTGCACATGGAACTTTTTTCATGGCTTCATTAACATAGAAAAAACAATAAATACTAGGAACTTTCATGAGCAAGCCAAAAAACTGTACACTAAAAAAACATTTACAAGCAATAAAATAAAAACCAGTAGAGTTAAGCTAGAAAGGACTGCACCTATTGAACAATATCTGAAAGAAAACAGAAACTGGTATCTATGAATAAGCTATCATTTTTAAGCAATAAACTATCTGTAATACAGTGCTGAATCAATCATCTGTCTTCCGGGCAAATCTGTGTTTTGGGATACCAGATACCAGTAATGTCATAAACCATTGAATATTTAAGCGATTAATGCTGTAAGAAAAACAAACAAGTCATTGAAACTGTAATTACGTTGTAAAGTGAAATTGCAGTCACGTATGAAATTAAAATTCATCCAATTGCGCTCTAGCAATGTTTTGTGAATATCCTGACAAAGCATTTTACATCAAAAATAAAAATGCTTTACAAAAAACATTTATGTCAGTGGACCTGTAACAAGCCAAAGCAGTATGCAGCAGCAATCTATTGCTCTGTTGGATTTACATCAAAAGACTTGAATCTTATTTTGTTTATAACAATCAGACGCAAGCCTGACAGCATACTGAAAAGTTCTCCTAAACTGAAAAACAAAAGAAGAAAGTGAGTGTCTGGTTCTTATCAGATGTAAGCAGTGGTACATTCTCAAAGTTTCAAATACAATGTCTTACGAAAGTATTCAGACTCTTGGACATTTTTCACATTCTGTTGCTTTAAAACTTGCGGTCATGACACATTGAAACAGCAATTAATATTTGTCATAGTATACACAACCTAATCCACACAATCAAATCAAAAAAATTAAAAAGAAGAAGTAAATGGATAATAAATCCATCCATTTATTTTTTATCTGTTATATCCCATACAGGGCTGTAGAGAAGCTGGAGCCTATTCTGGTAAACAACAGGCACAAAGGCAGGATACACCCTGGAAAGGATGCCAGTCCATTGAAGGGCAAATCCTCACGCCAGGGCCTATTTACCCAGATGTAAATTACTCTACTAGTTTGTCTTTGGATTTTGGGAGGAAACCAGAGCACCCAGAGGAAATTCAATGTACAGTAGATAATACCCCAGGAATCTTAATTAGAGCCACAGTACTACGAGGCAGCAATGTTAACCACTGCACCACTGGGTAGCCTTAATTAATACGTGAGAAAAATGGAAAGGTCATGATTGGATTGCAAGCATTTAAACCTTTTGCTGTGGCAAAACTAAATTAATTTAGGTGTACAACATTAGCTGAAAGAGCTATACAATTAGTTGATTGACCTCTATCTGTATGCAATAACAGTAGTTAATGTGATTTCAGAATAAACATGCCTATTTTTGTAACGTCTGTCAATAACATAGAGGATTTCAAGCAATCTGTGGAAAGCGTCCACAAGTGCTACCCAAGCAGCTTGATAGGGTTTGACCAAAAAAGAATGGGCAAAAATTGCAGCACGGCAGTCTGCATTATTGGTGGAGACTTCCCCAAACATAGACTCAACTGCCAAAGGTGCTATCATGTAAACTTTAAATATTAAGATGAAAAATTTGATGAACAATTTGCATCATTTTGTATTTTCAGAAAGACACTATAGGAAGAGTCTACAAACGTTTGCAAGGCACAAGAATACTGAATAGGTTTTCTGAAATGTGTAAAACAACTGGCAGAATAAAGGTGGCAATTTTAGTTTCTCCCATGACAGGCTCAAGGATACAAAACATTTATGTACAAAGTTGTTCTTCAAGTCATGGTTTGTGTACCTGATGTTAAATATAATGTGATGCCTAGCACATTTCATCTAAACACCATTTGTACACCATTTGTATGGTGTTTATCATCATTATCTCTTAGTCTGAATATCAGTAACAACCCAGCAGTAATATTTAGCATTTATATCTTTTAGAAAAAAACAGTCACTTAATTTAGTCTTTATGTCTATTCCTTTTAAACATTTGCTTTTTGTGTGTCACAGAAATAGTGTGAATACCCTTCTCTAGAAAAAAAAATAGTATAAGAAAAACTTGCAAAGCACACTGCAATAACAAAAGATCTAGATCAGTCTGAAAAATTACCCTGCCCTGTGTTTTGAAGTATATCTATCAAATGAAGGGTTTTAAAAACTGTGTACAAATTTTATCACTCAGAGCCAGATGTTCATTAAAAGCAGAATGGTCTATTGTTCCATGCTGGTTTAGATCCAATGCAGTTTTTGCTGTTCCCAATTCATTTTTATTGCATTTTTTTCTTGTTGAGAAACAAAAAGATACTCCAAACATTGATTAATGACTAAAAACTGAACTACTATCAGTTAACAATATTAATAGAGAAATGATTAGCTCTGAACCAAAATTCACTATTGCCTTACATCTCCAAGACCATGGATGTCCCAAGTCTTCCTTTATACCAACACAAAAGTAAGTGAAGAAGACAAGCACATTTTACACAGCTAGCAAAGAGAGATAAGAGGAGCAATGTTCTAAAGAATGCAATGCCAGAGTCACTGACCTTTGCAAAAGCATGGCTTCAAGTGATAGTAGATACTGGTACAAATGCAAATAAGTGTTGACATCTGAGAATGTCCTGTGTTGTTTTTATATGAAAGCCACTGGGGTCACCACTGAGCCTTGAATTATTATCTGTGAAGCCTAGATCAGCATTTCTCACTTAACTGTATTGCTTTTGAAATTTCAACACTAGTATTAAATACTATTCCTCAGAGACAAAACACCTCTCAGATTGAAATTACAATTTCAATAATTTGTTTACACATTCGGGTAAAACATTCAAGCAAGCATTTAAAAAAAATCAAGGTTATATTTTGGTAACATTCTGTTTTCCATCCATTCTATCCAACACACACATGAATGCACAGGCCAATTTTACAGATGCCAAATAACCTAACACAATGTCTTTGGACTGTGGGAGGAAGCTGGAGCACCTGGGGGAAACCCACCGTCATAGAGAAGTATTAATCACTGTACCATCATGCCATCCCATTCCATCTTCTTCGCAATAAAAAAAACACTCTGTCTGTAACATGGCAATTAGGTTATGAACAAAAATATATAAACATTTAATGAATCAATGCTGACAGCAAGATTGTGAAAGCAATGAGAGGAAATTTGAAAACCTTTTAAAATGCTCAGAGTCTGAGGCTATTTGTATGAAGTACCAAACATCCTAAATAACTGTGGCTGCCTTTACTTTGAAGTTAAGATTAATCTGAGACAGTATATTCCTGATCTACACCTTTCTGCTCGGCTACTCAATTCTTTATGCTTTCAGCAGATCACATATAAAAGCCAACTATCATAAGCACTTTTCCTTTAGAATAGGATATTTTAAATTAAATGAAAAACTGTTTTTCTTTTTTTAAAAGCTATATCTGAAATGGAAAATCTATGTTTTCTATTTTTAACAAAAGCTTCCAATTACTCTGCTTAACTAACAATAGAGGTAGAAATTATCTGGTTAGCGGCATCACTGCCTATGAATTAAAGATATTATTCATATTTGATTTATAGAGTGTACTCTATAATAAGAAATTTAGTTTAACATTTCTTTAAAATAAATTTAGTTTGATCTTATGTGCAGACCTGATTTAATCAATACAAATTTGTGAGATGCTGTTAGAATGCCAGATAATTGCTGTATGTTTGTGATAATGATCAGTAAATCATGCTAAATCCTATACTTTGAAAACAACTTAAAAGGATAAGAATGGTGCTTTTTTATTCTTTCTATAGTTATGTTCTTTGATGTTGTATGAATGAATACTAAATTTAAGATATGTTTTTAATTTGCTGCACAAGATTGAACTCTTGTTCAGAATCCTTTAACTTATTAATAGAAAACACTAGGTGCTCTTCTTTCGTTATGACAGGTGCAGATGTTTTTGGTAAGTGGACAGCTGAGATACAGTAATACTGCACTTAGGGGATGACTCCACTGATTGGCTATAACCCCAATCTCCTAGTCCATATCAATTTCCTTTTATAGACATTGAGGACATCTTTGCCAGCCCATAGTCTAGAAATATAGAAGTGACAGTTCATCTGCCCAAGGCTCATTCTCTTAAAAAATGGCTTCCAGGTTTAAACCTAACTTGTTCTACCAAGAGGATTACAATACTCCAGACCTGGTAGAATGATGAAGCAGTAGAACATTTTTTTCCCTTCTGTTATAAGAATGTAATCATGATGCCAACTGAGGCACTTCAGTTCTGGTGCTAACCACGGTCTAGCTCAAGTAGAGACCAGTGCAGTGAGTATGTTACAGAAGTGTTGTGGCTTCCTTGAAACCTACAGCAGAGTATATAGTCTACTGCGGCAGAAGACCAAGTATTCTGGTGTAGTTGTGTTCACTGCTGTCTATAAAGTGACCCTGTCTCTGCTCTGAGCAGAGCAACATACTGTAATTCTAGCCACGTGGGTGGTGATTTGTCAGAACCCAAGTGCAAGAGACTGGAGAGTGACAACTGAAAGGAGAAAATGAACTAATTAATTACTGGCCAGTGGGCCTTAATTAGCCCAGGCCAGTCAGTAATTGGGAAGAATGACAATTCTAGGAGAAGCTGGACCAATGACATCACTGGCAGAGAGAAAGGCTGATAAACACAGCCTGGAGGAAAAATTGAGTCTCGGGTACAGTAGGAACCCAAATAGCGAGACCCCTGAAAGAAACCGAACGGGCTTCGAAGGGCAGCCCTCTGGAGTGTCAAAGGTGCAAGTCAGCAAACTTGAGGGTCGACGCAGAGAGCAGTGAAAAGGATAAGTGTGAAAAGAAGTGCTGGCTAGAATCAGAGCCAGCTGTGTCAGGCAATGTGGAGAGCAGGCTAGGAGCTAAGGCTGGAGCACTGGGCAATGCCAAGAGCTGAGGCTGCTGTGCAGAGCGGAGGCTGGAAGCCAGGTTTCTGCCAAACATAATCCACCGGTCACAAAACAGGGAGTCTTGAGTATGGGAGAAACTGAGTTGTGAGCTTCCTGAGAAAGGAGCTGGGCAGCTTAGAAGGGCAGACTTGAGGCCACTGAGATTTTTGGGCAGAGCGAAGGCTGGCTGTGCTTGCTGGTTGACACTAGAGCAGAGGCTGGTGCATCGGGCAATGCTGGAGCCGAAAACTGCTGTGCACAGCAAGGGCTTGCTTGCTCTACCAGGCAATGCTAGAGTAGAGCCTGGTGCGCTGTGTGAGGCTGGAGCTGAGGGAAAAAAACTTCTGCACAGCCTATAGGTCAGAAAAAATACAAGGAGGCTTGGGTACAGAGAAACTGAATAATGAACATCCTGAAAAAAGAGAAAAACATTATTAGGAGAAGCCAAACAGCGAATGTGCTGAAATAAAGACCAAAAGGGTTTCAGGGCAGTGAGACTGAAACTTCTGTACAAGGTAAAGACAGAGTAGAGACAGAAGTACTGTACAAGTGAAAATCAGGGTGCCAAGAAAAAATGACGAATTGGAATCAAAGCGGAACCTAGGGTTTATATAGAAAACCAGGAATTGAATAATAAGCTAATTAACATGGATCACGAAAAGGCGATCTAGTTAGAGTAGCAAAACCCTGGAAAACCGTGAGCTCTCGAAAGAATGTGATGGTTTCCCAGGTCACCTCTAGCTGGAGGACATCCTCATGACAAGCGTGTTACACATAAATGACAGAAAAGTACAACTTTCAGTATTTACAGTTTCTTACTCATAGACAGTGAATAAAATGACCACAAGATGTATTATGACATGATTTCAGAAATCTACTAAAACATTAAGTAGTGGGGTGAAGACTTCTATCTCTGTTTTCTATTTTGCCTGTAACAGTTAGTTTGGCAAATATTATGTTAGTCATTATACGGCTGACTCAGTTTTCACAGCAGGACTTTGGTATAAACAGCACCTCATTTCCATAACTGAATCAACTAGAAATTAATTAAGAGTCTAATTGTACCAAATTCTTACTAAGAAATAAATTGAAAGTTCTGCTGTTTTACTACTGTAACTCTAGCTAAACAAACAAAACAGCCAAATAAAATACATTTAATTAGAATGATTAATACGTTGAGTTCAAGGAAACATAATATTAGCTACACATCAGTAATTGTGCATTATGGGACATTTATGGAATTTTTAAAGCCTAATGTTTTAAATGTATTATACCAATTAATCAATCACAGTCCCGCTTTGGGAAGTATACTGTAAGTAATATAAGTATTATCTCTTTAGACTATAATAACCACTCATCCGCAAACTAATCATTCTAAAACATTCATAATTAATTGCTTACATTAGGATACAGGGTACGGTATTTCTACAAAGGGTAGCACAGTTTTGCAGTGGTTATCAATGCTACCTCGCAGTGCTACGGCCCTGGGTTCAAATTCAGACCTGGGGAACCAGGTGGAGAACTAAAGTACATGTAGGTGGAGTTTGTATGTTCTCTCCATGTTCTTGTGGGTTTCCTCCAGGTGTTCCAGCTTCCTCTCACAGTCCAAAAACATACTGGTAGGTTAATTGGCTTCTGGGAAAATCGGCCCAAAAGTGTTAATGTGTACGTGTCTGTCTGTGTATCTCCCGTGCAATGGACTGGCGTTTTGTCCAAGGAACACCGCCGTGAGCCCATTGCTTATGGGAATAAGCTCCTGCTCCCCCGCGACACTGAATTAGAAGAGGTGGTTAGACAATGGATGGATGGCATTTCTACAACATTTCTACAACTGTGTGGGGGCATGGCAGTTCTATATCATTATCAACTAAACATAAGTTAATATACAGAAGATTATACTGAATACATCAGGAAAGTGCCAACACACTTTGTATGTATTAATTTGTATGAATTAATAACAAAATATTCCTTAATTCCTTAAAATATTAAGTGTCACTGTTATTTCATTTTTCATCAAAAGTACTGCAGGTACTAGAAAGGCAAAGAAATAAAAAACAATTCTTAAGAAATAGGAGATAATCTAGTTGAAAACTAAAGTTAACTAGACTTAAAAAACATACATTTTTCATACACAATCTGTCATTAAAATTAACAACTATAGTAACAGAAACTGTTTTTTTTTTATTTTGTAGCCCAGAAAAAGAAAAGAGAAAAAAATCAGACTTTTTCAATTAAGCATGATTACACTGTCAAAAAATGAAAGAAGCCAGCTCTCTCTAAAAAATGGCTTTTTATTTTTCGCTGCACTGACACAGCCTTGATTGCTGCACTACGTCTGCTTTTTTTTGCTCTGTCTCCCTTCTCTCTGAAAAAGAAGAATGTTTTTAAAAAGCGCTGGTTTCTTTCATTTTTTACTTTATGTGATCTTGAGTTTCAGAGCCCACAATAAAAGGTATTTGTTTAAATTGAGGCGAACATGTTTTTCAGGAATTGTTTAAGCTGGATTATGTTGTCAATTCAATCACATACCTTTGCTCTTATGGCCTTTTCAGCGTCTAGCTCTTCCTCTAACTCCTCTATGCGCACCTAAAGAGAAAGAAAATAATTGTAGCTCAAGCTTTAATGACTTAGCAATTTTCAGGTCCTGGACAGTGCACAATTATTTTCACAAGACCCTTTAATGTACTTTTTTACAGAATTACAGTATATGAAAACAATTTCACAGATCATTTTCCCAACATGTGCATACCTGAAGAATGTGTGCTTTACCCACCAATGGCAAATAACAAGGCCAAGTTTTGAGAAATTTAAAGATAAATGCATGACATTTATATTTCCATCTACCATAGGGAAAAAAAATCAGTTGACTGAAGATTTCAATGAGCTATAAACCGGCACTTGCATTTACTCTTTTTCCCCATTTGTGGGTTTGTTCACTTTTTATTCAAAAAGACAGCAATTTGGAAAAAGAATTGATCTGTATGCCATCATTAACATTTTAGCCTGAAGCTGTTTTTTTCTTCCCGACTTAAAATCTGCGGCAATCACAAAAAAGTTAACTTCAAGGAGTGGGTTGACAAATCTTCTTTATCTATTTGTGTGGTTTAATTCTGTACTTTGACATACTCTTTAATATAAAAAATATCAACAAAGAATTACACAGAGAAGAATCCCCCTTTAGCAACACCTTCAAACCACAATCAGTTGCTTCCTTGGACAATACATAATAACTGTAGTATGAACGTCTTTTTACAGAGAGACAAACAGAGCACCTGTAATCTTCTTACGAATTTCATATAACAAATAATATGTTTCATATTTTTAATTAGGACCTCTATAATTAAAATGGCTACAAATACGTCTTTGCCCCTTACAACATTTATATCTGACAGCAAATTTTTACTAGGTTAGTTAACTATTCCCAAAACAGAATTTGCTGCTTGCTGATATTATTTTTATTTGGTTATAGTTTGTTAAAACGATTTCAGTTATTTTAGGAATATCTTGTATATCTGAATATGTGACACACTTCAATATATCTACACTGAATATGTAATTGGAATTGGTAGGTATTCTGTGCATATACATTTGATGTAGTCAATGTGATCAAAAATTGTTCCAGAAAGGTTCCTCTGTAATTACACAGCAGGCTTGGGAGCTGGATGAAGAATTAGCTGTACACTGGGAAAATACAGGGTCTCCTATAGAAGAAATGCAAAAAACAAAATATGCACTCTTACCTGAACTTACACTGTGCTTGCATTTAAAATGTAAAGTGTGAACAGAAAATGACACTCCACAATAAAGCTGACTATGGCTAAATGTTCCATTCAACAATATCCTACTGTATGTGCTGGTAACATGGGAAATACATGTCTTAGTCTAAATGAGGAATCGGTAAAAGAGCCATGCCTTTTCCAATCTACATGAAAACATAAAAATCTAAAGAAAAAAAAAGAATTCTAGAGAGTAATGATTTTAAGTATATTTGAGCCTCTGATTTCTAAAATGTGTTCTACAGTTCATCATCAAAAGTGAAATAAACTTTTTGTTGCATGTAAATGAGAAGGACAAAGTTTATGGCTTGAGGCTATCACGTTACACTAAATACATGGTGACACTGACATTTCTAACTGCACATGCCTGGAGATGTTTGGAAATCTATTGAAAAAATATAGTTTCAAAGCTGAAACTGTAAAAAAAAATATTGTAGTGCAATAAATAGTGTTTTAACACTTTAGAGCCGATTCTACAAAAATCACATTAAAAAAACATTAGAATCTTTGAGGATGATCTCTATCTGAACCATGACAAAACTAAAAGGTAAAGAATATGGAAGTAAAGTGTTGCAGAAACTATAGCAAACAAAGAACCTCTTCATTCAGGTAGGCAGATTTATTTCTGATCTAAGATCTGAGGAAACAGAACAAAACCATAGGCGCTGCAAAATGAATAACAATATTGCTATCTATCGAATAAGACAGGTGCTAAGCTTTAAACATGCAGTTAATTGAAAACTAGTTTTAAAATTACTCACATGCCACTGTAAGACTTCTGCCGAAAGCACAGCCATTACTGTGCAGGAGAGCTCTGACAGCTCTTGGAACAGTCACCCCAATGAAACTGGATCTACCAGTATACAGATAGGCCAACGCCATTCTGTTCTGCTTTGAAGGGGCTTGCAAATCACAGAGAGCATCCCCACCCCCTCATACTCTCCAGCCCTGTTTCAATCTCACTAGTAAAGCAGCAGTGGTGTTTAACCAGCAATTTGTTTACCCAGCCGATAAAGTAAAACAGTATAAATGAAGTCCTTTGATTTAGGACTCCAGTTAGAATACGACAAGAAACAAGCAGCTTTCAGAATAGAACCATAGCCGTTTTTATGATGCAGAGAAAGAAACTGCAAGAGTACAGTATAAATGTGAGCTGGTAGACAATTCTATCCCTGCATATGTCATATTAACATCAATATGCCCAGTCACTACCAATGCAATCATCTTTTACTTTACCGAAAGGGGATTATAATCAGACAAGTTAAAGCTCAGTACTATCAATAAATGCTCTGTATTATTTACTGATGTAAAACATCAATATGATTTCTGAACATCAGGACAAAACCAGGGACACTGCCTTTGTGCACCCTGGCACTAATGGCTATTAGAATACTTGACTGTTACAGTATATCAGATTATACAAACAATAACTGAATTGGTTGCATTAAATAAAATAACTTAATAAATACACCTTTTAGCTACACTAAAACACTCTATTAAAGAGCAATAAAGAGATTAATACAAAAACATATAACCTACAGAAGTGCATATAGTACAGTCTCATAAGAATCTAAAAAAGGTTACAAAAGAAAAGAGTCATTCCACACACTGAATCTCACTCATGTGGTTGCTAGTAGCTAATTGATCCGAGGATCTCATTCTGATGTTTCTTAAAAGAAGCCAGAATATCAGTTTTCTCAATATTGTTGGGTAACGTGTTCCAGACTCCCACAACCCTTTGTGTAATAAAGTGTCTCCTGTTCTCAGATTAAAATAAACTTCCACATAGTTTCCATATGTGTCTTCTGGGTTGAGTTGCACTGTTGTTTCTGAAGCAGTCCTTAAGTTTACGCAGATCAGATCAGGACTTCCATCTGGCATGAAGACCTGGCAGAAGGATGCTGATACCATGTGACTTCCCCCAGCTACTGTTTTTGTACAGAGTTTTGTGAAGTCTTGTGTACAACTGTTACTTCTCAGCAGGGAAAGTTCAATGTCCTCTGTAATATTTAAGGTAGTGAAAAGAAAAGTCTGGTTTAAAAAGAAATGTCTGTACAAAATTTCCTTCAAATGAGGAGAGTTCTTGATCTTTGAAGCAACTTGTTTATATCATGTATACTACATGCTTTCTTTGTCTCACAGGTCATAATATTAGGAACTCTCACCAAATATGTGAAGCGTATGCAAGAATCATGAACTGTTTGAACAATAAAGACTTGATGAAGATAAAGGTATATATTCAATTAGATTTTGGCCAGGCATGGTGATGGAAGGCTATTTCATGCTTCAGTTTCATGCTCTACAGGCAATCACACATGACTTGCCACTGACACTATATGGATTTCACTGGGGGTTACTTACAGTATGCTTTGGCCAGTAAGTGTAGTTTCTTTGTCTTTGTAATTCTTTGCCTAAAGAGAGTGCATTGGAGCTACTCCTCGTTTTTTGCTGTTTTATTATTTTGTACTACTGTATTTTTTGTATCTACAGAAAATCAGTTCTGTAAATGCTACAGAATATTTTCAAAATCACACTATACATGGAGGAAGTTTCACATGTAATTTAAAACCCAAGCAATGCAAATGAGCTTGGATTGTTTTGTCCCTGACAAAAACAAGATCAACCCAGCTCTTGTTATGTACTGCCCACCTGCATTTTTATCAGTGGGAGGATTACAGCCAAGTTCAAAATGGATCCAAAGAACAGCTTCATTGTGAGGCATGAAGAATGCTTTTGCTAAGCGGGAAAACTTGTACACTTTAACCAATACACATATCAGCTTTCAGTCCTCCAATCATGGTCAACTAACTTAAACAAAGAAAGGCTTTATTTCCCTAAAGAACTCCAAAATGAAGCATCTAAACTAAGATGGCATGTGCCAGACTACCGAGTACCTGATCTTTACTAAGCTATCTTCTCCTTACTCTGAAATGGTAAACAAAGATAAACCACAGGGATGAAGACTTTTTAAAAGACTTTTTTAATTCTTTCACAATTTTTTTTTAATATAGTCAATTAGGAACTTAATGTGACAAACATTCTGATGATTCAAGTGATTTTATCCAGTTTTAATAGATGAAAACAATAATAACAACGATAACATCATCCTTAGATCATGACAACATTGTGCTTGATGGTTTTTTTACCTTTGTTTAAATGAAAGCACTTTAATTGTTTTATTTCTTCAGAAAATCCTATTGTCATGTTTCTAATTTCACCAGTTGTGATAATGCTTAATGCACAAATGCTCAATGCACTAATTAAAAGGTCTATTTTTTTTACTATATTTTTGTATTTAACAAGATATACAGCATATTGTGTAAGTAGGAATTATTCCTACCTTTAATTTATTTTATTTCTCAAAATTAATGACCAAAATTAAATACCAGTAATATAACTAAAAATAAAAAAAAATAAGACTATAAAAGTATGTCATGTTTTCTTTACAAATAAGTGCTAAAAAAGTAATATTTAATAAAAAATCTTTACTCGACTTTGTGTAACACCAGACAACTACTAATGTTCTGTAAGATAAATGTTTATTGCAGACTTGGAATCCATTAAGGAAGAATTTTCAATAGTCTAAGAATGTACTGGCTAGAGCTTTTCCACAAAATCAGTCAGAGAGCTTAGAGTTAAATAGGCCATGAAATTTATTTCCACCGTTATTTTTTTTAAGATGTTGCAACTTTTAAGATGAGGAAAAAAGGGCAATTGCAATTCAGCTGAAAAATGCCCTTGTTTGTTCTTAACACTTCAGCAGAAAACTGTCAATTAGAGAGAAATGCAATCATTAAATACTGTACTGAGGACATGCCAATAGAGCACATTTAATTTTAAATACTTGCACTCCAAATCAGGCTACTCCACCTCTTAAATATATAATGAATATTTTCATCAAATAAGATCAATAAAAGACTGAAGTAGTTTTAACATTTGAAAACAGATACTGATTTGGACTTACTAACAGATCCAGTGCTGTAAATTTCTAAATGACCTTTTATTGTCGTGAAAACATCCCAACTCATATGACTGGGTCTGATATGGTACAGTATTTGATATGGTATTTGAGTTATGCAATTCCCCATATCAGCAAATAAACATTTTTACTTGCCCTACGCAAGCTAGGGTTTATGGCAAGATAAACATTAGGCAAAATTAGATTTTAAAATGAACATGTTGTATGTCCATTTAAGGGAGTTTATGTGCTAACATGAGTATTCAGTATCATGTCACTTTTACTTTGCAGACCGACTGAATCTATTGTAATTGAAGTTTTAACTTTTTTCAACACTGCAATAATGGAAAGAATATACAGTATTTAAATCTATTTTGGACACTAAGTCTATTCAGACATTATGATGCTGATTTCTGTTGGTTTATCAAATATATAAAAAACTATTATTATTTATATTACCTATTTTTTTTTAACAGTTGAAAATGAGTTGCATTTTTATTTTACATTGTACTGTTTGTACATACAGTACTTGATTTCAAACAGTAAGCATGTATCTGGAAAACATACTTGCTTCACATTTTCACTATTATTAGGACTGCTTTATTAACAATGGGAATAATATTTGAAAAACATTCAGGATGCTTAGACAATAGGCTTCTTAGAGAGATTGTGTTTTCCCTCTATCTTTTTTCTTCTCCTACTCCTTAATATTTTTGGAGAGATCGCCTAAAAAGTTAGGGCTTACTAGTGATTTATGTACAGTATGTTGGCAGCTATAAATACATGTAGTTGATTTTATTGTAGTGGGCAGCAAAAGAACAAGTGAAAGGTTTATTTCATGCCGAAAAGAGAAGAAAGAAAACAACGTTTCGGCCGTGGAGCCTTCTTCAGGTGTGAGGGTTTATTGTAGTGGTATGATTGAGATCTAATCACAGTATAATAATGATGAAAGCAAGCTCTAAAGCTTTTTATTTTTTAACTAAAGCTATAGCTTTATGTCACATTGACTGTTAAACTAGGGAACCATTTATCTATCTATCCATTTTCTAACTGCTTCTTCCAGTTCTGGAGAGTCGGGGAGCCAGTGCCAATCCCGAAAACGAACAAAGGTGCAATGCAGGGTACACCATGGACAGGATGCCAGTCCATTACAGGGCAGACACACACAAACACAGACACACACACTTAAGGCCTAATTTTCTCAGAAGCTAATTAACCTACCAGTATATTTTTGGACTGTGAGAGGAAGCTGGAGCACCCACAAAAACATGGGGAGAGCACACAAACTCAGATACCCAGATAGCACCCCAGGTCTGGAATTGAATCCAGGACCCCAGTGGAGCGAGACATCAATTCTAACCTATGTATGCACTGTGCCAGCATGCCAATTGGGGAACCAACAAAGTAAAACTATTTATGGGGTTCAATGATTTCATGTTGAAATATGGCTCTGTAGACACTAGACCATTTTTGTTTTATATATTCTGTGTGTTTTAGTACCATGGAACAGTGTGCAAGTGATCATCATCATCATTAAAACAAAAATAAAGCATGACATTTAAAAAAACAAAAGCTAAATTGTAGATGGTTTCTGTCATTTTTAACTAGCAGGAATTCTGTAATGTACAGTACACGTACACAAGTCTGCATTACTATAGCCTGTGATGAAAGAAATATATTCAGTGTTTATTCCTTGCAGTCCACAGAAATATTCTTTCAGGCTCACCTGCAGCTCCTTATTTATCTTCTGTAGATTCACATTTAAGGCCTCCTCCTCCTCCAGCTTGTTGTTTGTGGCATTTATCTCCAAATCTTTCCTGCAGGAACACGAGAGGGAAAAGAACAAAGGTTTGTTTTTTTTCAGGCATACTTGCTTTATGAACCATGCCATTCTCTACACGGATGGTTTCTGGTGATGCAGACGGAGTCATTTTACAATCATTCAGTTTTACCATTAAAACCTTGGTTTTCTTAAAGGCAACAACAAGATATTTTAAAACCAATATATCAGACAAACATGGGTTCCTATAAATATGGGTATATCATAGTCAAGTATTTAATTGTGAAAAATTAAAATGTGTCATATGAAAATTCCCATGAAAAGAGGGTTTCAAACGGAAGTTACTGAATTAACTACTTATACAGTACCTTTCTCCAACCATGTAGCCTTTTTTTCAAATCTTGCTTGGTTCACTGTGAAAGACTATCATATCAAACAGCTGTTTTTGCTTTGTTGTAATTGTGAGAAAAACATAAATGATTCTCTGTCTCCCCAGTGCATACCAATAGATCTGAGCTGTTCCCCGGCTTTTTCCTATTTAAAAAGAAGTTGACATCTGCATGGCAATGATGTTCCAGATTGCCTTAGGGCTTGCTCTGATCAAAGTGAAGATAGCTCTCCACAGATATTCTTTTATTTGTCTGAACAAGAAAACTGTGAGAGCAAGCAACCTTCCCTCTCACCCTGTGTAAGGTTAATCTGTAACAGAGGTGTTTCCTTTTATTAAGGCCTGACTCCTGCCTCCACACAGCCTCACCCCCCACCCAAAAAAAACTAATTCTTTGACTCAAATGATCTGTACATATTCTTACATGAATAGCTATTATTAAACATTCCTTGTGGAGTAATGAACCATAGAATGCCCAGTAACTGAACATCCCTCACAGCCTTAAAAAAATCTGTTAATGTGACAAGATCCAGAACACTTTGAGTGCAAGCACCTTCGCCCAGATTCTACTGAAAGAGTAACACTTTCTGGGGCCTGCTGTACACGCTCGTGAAGACTTACAGATGAACTCCAAACACACAGTCAACTGTGCTACCCCTACACTTGAAGAAGTGTCAGAAACTATTCTTACAAAGCACGCAATACTACTCAAAGTGGAGTGCGGTGACACAGAGCATTCACACTGGTGAGATCACACTATTCACCAAATTCAATAAAGAAAAAGATGGAATAGATTAGGATTTCTTAAGCAAATAAATTAAGTTTAAATTTTAGGATTTGGGGTGGAAAATGTTAGAAAAGAGTACATCTATATTTCCATAGCTTTTGGAAATATTCTCCATATGTACTGTATTATTATTTTCAGCTTTTTTTCTTGAATGCATAGCCATGAGATATACTGTACAAAAGGTGTTGGCAACCTTGATTTGAGAATTAAGAAAATACAATTTCTGATAATCATTTTAAAGTCAAGAATTTAATTATAAATTATTGTGTCATGAAAATTCTAATGAGAATAGTTTTTATTAAACATACTATTGATGCAGATTTTTAATGAAAAATGTTGATCTTAGAAAGGTACTGTATAGAGTAGCTTACAAATACACTACTATATAAATAAAATTTAAATATATTGTACCAACTTTATACTAATGATAAATCTTCAGTACACTGTATTTTGCCAACCATTCTATAATCATGGAAATGTTTTAATGAATTTAATTTTAAAACTAAAAATATTATTTTTCTAAGGGAATAAAGGGAATAGGGAATTAAAATATTCCTAAAGGACTAAAGCTTGATTTTACAGATTATGGTTTTTAAACAACCCAGTTCATGTACAGTAGATTTTGCATACAGTAGCTTCTGTATTCCTGCTTAAAGAAAATCATGAGGTACAATATACTGTACCAATTGCTCCATTACCTATACTGTAAAACACTGCCTGGAATTTGAAACTCATAAACATAACATAAAAAGAGAACAGAAGACAAGTGCAGTATGAGTCTAAGGCTGCAAAAAGCAATGTGTTTGCAAATACACAGTACATTTGTTAATGTTCTATATAGTTTAAGAAGATTATTTAAGAGTAACCAATTTAGGGTGTCAATATCAAACAGAAAATAAATTCTAAATTGGCTCATTAATGATCTTTCATGACTTACTTCTTGATTACCTCCTCCAGGTCTGTCTTAAGCTTCTCCATCTCATTCAGGTTTTCAATAGTCATCTTGCTGTCTCCTTCCAGTTTCCTTTTGGCTTTCTCCAGTTCACTTCTGTGCCTCCTTTCTTGCTCAAGAAGATACTCCAGCTTAAGGGGAGGATTTAGATGTGATTTCTTATCTGCTTCTAACAGTGAATAGCCTCTCCACTTTACTCATTGGACAAGATTGTTTACAGTATGTCTCTTATTCAAAGAGGTGGTCAGTTCTGCAATTTGCCTATACAGGATTCTGTTGAATCAGAAGACTCTACAATTCATGTCTATAACAATTCCCTTGTATCAAAATAATACAAGGTACTCTCACCAGTTTATGACCATGAATCAAGATACCCAATTTTAAAATAAGATTTTTACTAGTGATCAAGCATTGAGTCAACAGGTTTTCTGCTTCACACATTTTAACAGTGAATTTTCAGATCTGAAATTGTTAGTTTTGGCAAACATTATTTTAATGACCATGACCAGAAACATAACAATTCTCCAGCATTGCCATTGCATTTTAATTTGAGTAGGTTGACCATGATCACATAACCATTTTTGCCATTTAGACTAACTTTGTGCAATACAAAATGTATTTCAATTTTATGTAATTGGAAGAGTCAATATTTGCTGAGTTTTTTTATATACTGGAATTGAAAAGAAGTCATTGCATATCTGTTCTAGCCTTGAAAGCTTCTACTGTAGCTTATAACTGACGACAGTTTGAAACAGTCTAAGACCTGTAAAAGAATGCTGCAGTAATGCATGGTCAATAATATTAAAAACATTTTTATTTAAAAAAATCTACATTAGCTTTACGTGGGTTTAATATCAACACTGTGAAATGTACCAATTAAAATAACATTTTGGTTGAATAAATGCTTAAATTATATGACAAATTAACAAAAAAATATGGAAGCATATTTCAGTGAGTATAAATCTGTCAGAGAGCTATATCTTTTAGCAGTGCTGGAATGCAATGTATGCAATAACTGTCAGTAGTCAACATATTTAATGACTGAACATTAATGGGTACAATGTATATACAATCATCCTTGTGCAATTTATTATTGTAAGAAAGTGCATTTGTAAAAAAACTTACTTTATTATACTACTGTATATACTGTACCAGAGTGGCCGTTATTTTTGAAAATCTCAAATCTCATGCTCTCACCCCCTCAATATGCAGTACAATATGACAAAATTATCCAAGTTACCAGAAAATATCATGCATGAAACTTCAAGGTAACTGAGATTTACTTACTGGTGTCTGCAACAGGGTTTGAAATGATAGTTTACTTTTTTGAATGGAAGCCGTGCCCTGAATCCTGATATACAACATGGAAAAAGAATTGCATCTGTTCCTTGTTGCAAGTTAGATGATTATTGAACTCTTGTATCATGGCCACACTGTGATTCTCAGTGTCTCTGACCACTTTTAATCCCTTCTTATGGTTGATTATAAAATTGAAATCATAATAACCAAAACATTCTAAACTCACAGGCAATGAAATAATTTAATCTAGACTCAGTGACTGCCAATCACCATGTAAGGGATACAGCTAGGTAGAAAATAAATGCTGAAAATTAAAAGCTGTATTGATATCACTGTTAATGTCACTACATGGTAAAATATCAACTAGACACTTCTAAATACATTCAAAATTGATTATATTTTGCAGAGAGCAATTCAACACAAATTAGAAAAAATGAGAGGGTGAGCATTCAGACTTTCACGTTTTATTATATTTATAGGAACTACTGTACTCTATTATAAACAGTACACTGGATATTATTTATCCATTCTTCACTACTAGCAGTAAATCCTTTCTACACTACTATCTTATTGATCAACAAGAAAAATAATAAAAAATTATCCAAATATTTTTATGACCGTTTTCAAAGAAACTCAAAACACTGATTTGCATAATGGATCTCAAATGGACCCCAAACCAGGTATGTTATGCTGTTAATAATGTTAAAGAACTAGAGCAAATATTTAGATCTCAAACTTGCCAGGCAAAATGCAACTGTTCACCCAGTCTGTGAAAGTCAGTGGTCGCAGTTTTTGAAGGATCCTGTTAAGATCGCAGTATTCATAATGAATATATCAGAACAGGTATAATAAAGATAAAAAAATGCATTCTGGTCTGTGACACCACAGACCACTCTCATTCCAAAAAATATACCTAATAATTACATCAGTATGGAAGACTGGAAGGTCATCTATGGCTTTTGCACAGGAGCTGTAAGAGTGATGAATAATGCTTTTGTGTCGTCTTCTGAGCGAAACAAGGTCCTAATTGGTTTCTGTAGGGTTGCAATACAGCAGAAATGTAGAATAAAGCCCTGATATGCAGAATGTTAACTATAGCCAAGGCAGATAACCAAATCCATGAAAATTAAGACAGGTCTATTTAATTATTGGTCCTATAACACTAAAGGCATGATTAACACTAAACGGTTACTGCAGGCAGCCTCTATACCTTGTGCTCATGTCATCAACTAAATCATATTTTTTTTTTAATCTTATTAAACTCCACAGCTTTCAAAAGCCCCAGGATGCCCCTAGAAACAGTCTAATTTGTCAGTGTGATTATGACAAGCTGACAAAAGAAAGAAGATATACTGTACTATATATAAATGGTGAAAAGAGAAGAAAGAAAGCATAATGTTTTGGCTGTGGAGCCTTCTTCGGGTGCGAGTAGCTTCAGGTGTGAGGTGAACTACTCACACCTGAAGAAGGCTCCACAGTCGAAACGTTACGTTTTCTTTCTTCTCTTTTCAGCATGGAATAAATCTATTACAGTACTTGTGCCTTTGCAGCCTACACATGCTGACACAGCTACCCACCTGAACTATATATATGGTTGTGTGCCACAGAAGAAATAGCAACTAAATTAAATAATACGATAAAATATGGACCTTTTTGTGCTTTGTAACAGTAAAGTAGTTTTTCATTGTGACCTAAAATGGACTACAGTATGTGGACCTTTCAGTTTATGTTGCTGTCATTTGTTGATTGAACCTTGCTCAGCTTTCTCATTTATTCACTTCCTTTCAACATGATGCACAACAAGTGCCTTGGAATTATTTAATCTAACCACATGAGGAAAACTTTATTTAATCTCTAATAAAATTAACAGTAGGATCTAAGACAAATACAAATATGTTTTCTGTTTCATTAGAAGCAAAAAGTGTAATTATGTAATAAAAATTCTCTGCTCAAATTCCTTTAATGGTCAAATAAAAATAAAACAGGAGAAATCTGCTTGTGTGTATAATACAATATTATTGTTAAAAAACCAATGAATTTTATACAGGCATAAAATAAGAGCTGAAGTACGCAAACTAACTAAGCAATAGCACAAAACTGTCTCATTACAGCACTTTGGAAGGACACAGTGTCACGCAAAGCCCAGCAATTGAATTTGACCTCATTGTTTATTTGCTCTAAACAGTTATGACAAAGCTTTCTTGAAAACCAAAGTTATTTTTTTACATTTATGGAAAGTTAAATTAAAGGGATGATTTTGTAACAGAACAGTACAGAACAGAACAGATTACTACACTTACAAATAAAAAAAGTGCTTGAAATCCAAGACAACAAAAATGCATCTTTATTGTGGTAACCATGAAAAACTAGGGAAATCTTTGAATGATCATATCAAAAGTATTTTGAAGGGCTATTGTTGTAGGACCAATAAGGTAGCCATCTCATTCTAAAGCAATATATAGACATTGCAGCTACAGTACTGCTGATGACTTATATTCCTGCTTTATTTTTCATAATTTTATTGAGGTATTCAATCAATAAGCAGCCACATTTAACTAATTCACAAATTGATCAATACATTTTCTAACCATTTTCTACAGTACATGGTCATGAGAGAGCTGAAGCCTCTCCCAGAGACCAGCAGACAAGCAAGGGAAGATACACCACGGATGGGACACTGGTCCATCGCAGGACACACTCAGACACAAACAAACACTCATGGAGAATATTCAGACTCCACACAGATAAAGCACCCCATGTCCAGAGCTGAGCCAAGGGTCCCAGTGCTGCGAGGTAGCAATGCTAACCACTGTGCCAGTTTGCCACCCAGCATGGTTTCAAAGAGTAGCAGTGCATACAGGAGAAAATGACAGACATGTCTTTGAGTAAATCTCATTACTGTCATTACATTATAACTTTTATTTTTTGCAATTAAATATCTCCATTCTACAGATGTCTACATTTGCCATTGTACATTCTAAAAAACAGCTGTCAAGCCAATACTGCATGACAGAAGCATACTGTAGAACACCAACTTTTACTCACATCCTCTGTTTGCACCTGCAGTTTAGCTTTTTCTTTGGTTAGCAGGTTGACTTTCTCTTCCTCTGACTGTAAGTCCTCAAAAGCCTGCTGTGAAAGCAAAGCAACACATAATTCTGTCATTAAAAAACAACAGTACAGTTATTTTGTATAGTATCATATTTTTATATGCACTTCATGTTTGGCTTACTATTATGCTTGTCCTCATTTCTGCTTCCAAAATAAAAGAAAAGAAAACTTGACCCAATATATTTTGCTACTTTTGAAAAGCACTGTAAAAATCTTTTTAATGAGTCAGTAACCAGAAGGAATGCATTAAACTTTTTTACTCAACAGCATGTTCACTGACTTTCCTAATTAAGGAGTAAGATCTACAGTATCTGTATAAGAAAGATTTTTTTTGTATTTCAGAAGTTGACTCCTGGCTAAGAGGGAGCCTTGAAACCAGTTTTCTCAAGAATAATTCCTTACAAGCACAGCTTTCTATAAAGGGTAATTACTGTGAAACAAGTAAGAAATATTTTAATCTGTTATAATACACAGTATACTGCACATATTTCCTGTGCCAAAATACAATGGGGTGAAACCCAAGAGTACATTTTGTCCCTGCAGGTTATCTCTCCCACAGTCTTTTGTTTCAACAAAACCAACATTTCTGAAATGCAAGCACGTCAGTCATCCATTCAAGGAATCCAGTCCAATGACAAAATATATTAGTACAGCAGGCATATCTATAACAAGACTGTATTAATTAAGTGATATTAAATAGCCACACAATCTTAATTCTTTATAAAACCTGAAATAGAAATAGAATTCTTTAGAAAACCTGATTTTATATCCCACTGTTTCAGGTGTTGCTGTTATAGTCCATCATTTGGCAGATGTGTTTAAACAAGCAGATGGTGGTTTAATATCCATGACTTTAGGTGGAATTCTCCAGCAAGTTAAAAGGACAGCCTTTGTAAAATTGCTACTGTGAAACATCTGATCTGAATTAAGGTAGTAGGATTAAAATACTTAAGAAACATCCATAACAGAAAGGGAAGAAATTGCTTTATTTTGTAGAACAAACATAACATCCTGTATCATAAAAGGGCACTGCTGGAATGGCCAGGGCTATTGTTGGATACGATTTATGACAAGCCTGGGGAATGCATAGCTATATGGTGAGGTTCTTTTCAAAAGTCTTTTTTTTTTTGTTACAGTTGTGTTGGTTATATATTGCAGTGTTTTGTCATTTATAACACACAATGCTTTTAAAATCGAATGATCTTTTCAAAGGATCTAAGGGGTAATAAAAACTTTTCACTATTTTCCCTTGCTTGTCTTCTAATATTTTTACTAGTGTTTCTTCTCTAAAATCTAGAGGGAGAATACCCCTGCTGAGACAAGGTTGTAAAAATTATTCAGTTACTGTATATTAGATGGGTTTTTTAATCCTTAAGGATAAAATGTTGAAATTCAGCCTGTTTAACTCTTGTTTCCTGATTAATTGGTATAGCATTTCAAAAGGAATATCAAATCTGTTGCACCACAATATGGATCAATATATTTTTTTAAATGTTACTGATCTCATAAAACTTTAAAACTTGTCTATATTTAAAATATCACCCTCTCCAAGACATGGTTTTGGACTAGTTTCTTCATCCTTTTTTTGAGTTAAGAGACACAATTTGATATTCTGCCAAGTAACAAACAACTCTAATGTCTTTCAGATCCCACCTTCCATCCAGATGGCTTCAATCTATAATATACTTATATCATCAAAAAGATTTACTATCCCCAAGGTGTGACCTAGACAAAGAGAAATAACCAGATATCTGAATTGAAATGTTTCACCATCTGTCACAGAGTGGTAGTGGAAGCCAACTGTATAATTACATTCAAAACTCCCAACAAAACTATAATTTCTTCTACAAATAATGCAGCAAAAAGTGCATTACGAAGGCACTTTGGAATTCCTACTATTATCACTACCAAGGGTTCAACTTGTAGTATCTTACTCAAACTAGCATATACATGTAGCCCAGTAAAAGCAGTCTGGTTATCGGAGTGGCTGTTTTTGCCAAAACTCCTGATCTCCAAGTCACATCACATACTTAGTACAGAAGATATTTTGAAATATCCACCCCGATGAACTAGAACACCAGCACCTAATGATGAAAATAATCATCTGAATACTGAACATGAGTTTACCAATCAATTGGCTGAGAAGAATACTCTATTATTGTACTTGTCTCATGACTAAAGTTTCCTGTTGTGCTGGGTAAAAGAAACCATATAGTACATTTGTTTTAGCACTTTTCAATGTGTTGTAAAAGCTCTTATTTAAATACATCCTACATACTGAAATTGAATATGTTAAAAACAGAATTGTTTCATTCGTGACTGCAAACAATAATCTTCTGCCCAATCCTCAAGTTTGTTTCAAAGCATTTTATTACAATTCTATGCAGATACAGAATGTAAAGACACTCTACCATTACCACCCCGTTCAGAGATATCAATCATCACTCAGAACAGAGAATTAATTACTTTCCAATTGCAGAAGGAACAGTGAGCTTCTTCATGGGCTAACCCTGCTGCAAAATCAATCAATACCTGCAAGGGAAGTGTTTTGAGGAAGTTCTTGCCTAAAGGCATCAGGCTACCATTAAAACAGTCACAAGTAGATTATAGTCTCTTGCATACCTACTGTAAGTACAGTGTGATGAAGGATGAGAAATTGAAGAAATGCTATTTTCTGAACTGTACCCTGTTTTTATAATCATTTATAGAATGTATTTCAACAATAAAATCCTGGTAATAATTATGCATTCTATATGGTACCAGTCGACATAGATCATTACATATAGTACACAATTCATTCAAGATTCTAAAACATTCCATCAGCTGTCTGTCCCATTGATAGAAAAAGAAAAGGCATTCCTCAGCAAGAAAAAAGAATCTATAGTATACAGTATATACAGTACTGTATATCATTTGAATTATTTTTTCTGCTAACTCGAAAGCTCTTGATTAAGTGAAGCATGTGGCATCTCTTGTAGCAGGCAAAGCTACTTTAAATATCTTATCATATCTTTACAATTTAATAAAATTGTGTTGCACAAAGCAATCTGAAAGCATGTTACTTTGAGCTCAATGCTACCTTTTTCAATACAGGAAAATAGAGAATAATACGTCTACAGCACTGTGAACTGAAGCAATACTGATATTGAAGATGTCCTTTCAACCTAGAAAATCCTCTAGGTTGAAAAGTGTATCCATATCATTCCCAGCAGCCAGCCAAGCCAATGGCATTAAAGTGCATTCATGTGTCTCAAGCACAATTTATGTGAATCACATGCGTGATTTAACAAAGCTTTTATGTGATATTTGTGAAACTCCGGTGGAGTTTAATGGTCTTACCTGAATGTTAACTTCACAATGAATTCTCTTATCAATTTCCAACATGGGACTTTCCTGATGCATATATCCAGAGATATAAAGAGTACGTGTTGTTCTCCACCATTTCAGAACACATCAGACAGAATTACAGAATTAAGAAGTAGCTAAAATAATGGATGCTTAAAAAAGTTTTGAACTTATATAATATAATAATATAACCATTTTATACATTGATTTTTTTAATTATGAAAACCATTTCTGATTGCTTTTTTACTGCATTATTCTAAATAGTTTTTTAAGTCATTGAGATGAGTGGAACTTGAAATTTTACTGTATGAATGAGATTTACATAATTTGTAATGAAGAATTACAGATGATTAAATATTAGATCAAATGTAACCCCTTAGTCTATTGAGAATTGAAAAACAAATCTGGCTTGAACCAATATATAGTTTTTGAAGGCCAGAAAGTACTGCTGTATTATCAAAGCAGTAGAGGATAAGCTTTGTGGCCTTTAACCAATGACATATGATACTGTATATCTAATTTACACTTATATCATTTAAACACATTTTCAACTATTTTATTTTTTTATCTTCTTTTTTATTGTAAAGTCAAAACATTTACAATAAAAAAGCTTGAGTTCATTATCATTATCAAGAAACCTAACCGGAATCAAATGCTTCAGTTTTAATCATCAAATAAAATACTCTGGGAAACAGAAGGAGAAAACATCAAAAATATTTTTGTGAAAATTGGAATCTTTTTTACAATAAGATTCTAAAGCTGGCCTTTTAAGTGCACATCAATGAAATATAGTGTATATGATTGTGGCTACATAAGTACTGTACTTTGATTAACTTTTAATAATTAGATTAAGGTACATGAAACAGATGCAAATGTAATATCAGTCAACAATAGCCTAGATTGCATTAAACATCCTGAAGCAATAATGGATTCATCTGTTGATGTGCTCTGCTAGCCTTATCATCACTGTTTGACTCATTTGTCTGAAAAAGCTAAAGTGGCCCATATTCAATAAATTAAAATAAGAGGACTATAATATTAGGTTTTTTAAAGTAATAATTTAAAACAAGACAAGTGATCCAAGGAGTTGGACACTGAAAACACAATAATTCAAGTTAAGAAAACCAAAGCTTGCAAACTAGACTGCTGCCAAGATAAGTAAATAAGTGTTGTGACTACCTGCACCAACCAATTCTTTCAGGCTAAACATTGCTGATACAGGAGCAGAATACTGTACATACAGTAGTATATCTTTTAACATACATACAGTTCCAGGCAGCCTTTATTGTCATGCAGGTTACGCACGTATCACATACAGTATTACTGAACCAATGCTTTTGTTATGCTAATTAACGCCACATTTTTTTCTGAAACAATCTTTATCACAAAATAAAATTCGAATACACACAGTTTATAATTAGAGAAACCTATTCTCTGATTTCAATTAGACAATATGCCTTTTTAATAAAAATGTGGTTTAGCATTATTCTTTTTTGTATGGTTATTTTCTTGGGTCCGAAAACTGCACAAAGGTCTTAAGAAACAAATGGTACTCTATAATATGAAAAACAAATTGTCCTGGAACTTTTTTGTAATGTGTGATTTGAGAGAGAATTTTGCATTTCAGACCACACACAGGTCTCCGTTCTTCCTGAACAATACATATGTTGCAAGTTGTTTTTACTAACCTGACTGAGCTCAACCAGGTGCTCTTTTTCTTTTTGCAGTTTTAGGACATTTTCATCACACTGAGACAGCTCTTCTGACAATGTCCGAACATTTATTTCTGAGGACTTGAAAGAAAAAAAACTGTTATACTGTGTCTCAGCCTCAAACTTAAATAAACAGATCTTCATCAAAACAAACTTGCCAACAAGGGTATTTGAATAAATCTTCATTAAAGAGTACAATCTGCATTTTCCGTAGAAGCAGACATGATGTACAGTACATGATTGCCATCATGTCTACAGTACAACCTACAGGTACCTATTTTTTCATTCCTCTGGATTTCATCAAAGTTACCACAGACAAGCATGTAATTTATTTGGTAAGAATTTGTTTTATAAGCATCCATATTCAGAGCAATTTAAACATGTCTAAACACAAGAACATATTGCATCAGAATGAAAGTATTGCCTTTTCAAAAGTGCAGAGAATTTCTTGCTTAGGCTTTTTGACTTGCAAATATGAAAGACAAAGTTTTATGGCATTCTTATCACTTCATTGTTTTGTATTCATGTAGTCAGGATTCCTATCAGTTTAAGAAAATAATTTCTGAGCTAAACATTTGATTACATAGCAGAATTTAATTAAGACAAGAAATTAAGGACATTCATTTCATTTTATTTCTCTGAAACGTTTGTTCATTAGATTAGTATATTTGCTCTCTCACAGAGATATGCCATTCCACCCATTACTTGAAGATGTATTGATTCTTGTATTAATTTAATATAACTTTTTGTTTTCCTGCTTATCAGATGCTCTTATAACAATTTGTCTTTTGAAAAGAAATAATGTCATTGGCTTGTTAAAGTGTTCTTTCTACTGAAGTGCCAAACATTTTTTTTTTTTACATTTCATCACATATAATTGTATGGTTCCCTTTTAATGCTAAACATTTAAAAGACTAGGGAAAGGGGTTTAATTTGCCCCTTTTTCATTTCTAACTCTTTCTTTGTTCCCATAAATCCACAATACTTTTTGTTGGGGAAAAAAAAGAACATACCTAACCTAAAGGCCACACATCTAGCCTAATTGCTACTAACAGTTTGACACTTCATCTGTATAGATTTATTACTCCTGCTTTGTTATGATAAAATCTCAATGTTACCTAGAAGGTAAAAATCTTTAAAGTAATAATACAACCTAAAGCATTTGTCTAACTAAAACATCCTAAAATTCAGGTATCAAATACAGCAATAACTTACAATAGCTGAAAGTTATTGAACATTTCTGAAGTCTAACTGAATGACCCTTTCATTATTAAACTCTATGGAACACAAATACAAATTTCCCTCTATGATCAATAATATGGTGATGAAAGGTCTTTCTGTAATGATAACTACGAAATATTTTTTGTTAATCATTAACAAAAAATAATCATTGTTAGAATTTAACAATGGAGGTAATGAGGTTGGCTGCATCTGTCTGTTTTTGATTTCACATACAACATTAAAGTTTGCTTTAGTTTATATACAGTACTGTACAGATCCTAATTTGCTAGTCTAGAAGAATATATATTTCAAACAACTGAGAGAGAATAGAAGACGAAAAAAATACAACAAACAATTACATTATGTAAAAAAGAACATAATTCAAAGCATATAGAACATAAGACAACCCTGAAAACATGATTTTGACTTATTGGGTTGGAGTGAGGACAGACGTGATGGGGAGCTGAAGAAATCTCTACGTATTTGTTAGTTTATAAAAAAATATTTATGGCACTTTAGCTTTGTTTTCTTTTTTCAAAAAGGAATTTAAAAATAATGGAACAAAAGAAGGCAAAAGTAGTGAATGTTCAATGTTCAAAAAGAATATTAACCTTTGCTGTAAATGTAAAGTACAGGCTTAGACAATTTGATGTCAGCAGAATACATTTAAGATTTTTAGATGTCTGATTATAATAGTACCACACAGACAAATAAAATAAAAAAAACATATATTAGGGTGCTTCGGGTCATATCTTTAAAAATAACTTTTTGTCAATAGGCTCATCTTTCTATTCACACTAAATATACAGTATCCTGTTATTTACAGTACGCATGGAACACTACTGTCCTATCGTTTCATTGTCTTTCATTAAGAGGGCCAACTATCATTAAATGCATTTGTAAAATACATTGTATTGACATTGTGACAGTTTATGTATGGGAATTCCAATTTACAGTTCTTTGTTTTTCTAAAGACTGGGAAAGCAGTGACAATTCAGGACAACTAAAAAATGAATCTACTAGTCATATGCTCAGCAGGATATCATGAGAACATTTAGCTCTCTAGGGGTGAAAATTACTGTTCTACAGTATTACACACAGCGTTAAACAGCAAACTACAAATGCTTTAGCCAACAAACTAGTCAAAAACGTCTTCATTCCAGTCATTTATTGTTGGGTTTTAAGATTTCTTTGTATGTTGTATTTTTTTCTTTATTTTTTTCAATATAACAGTGGTTCACTAAATGAAAGAAACTGGAAAGTAAATATTTTAATTTCTATTGTCTACAGTATACCATTTTCAAAACAATTAAACAAAATATTTGAATTTTTGTAGCCTTCCAGATCCTTTAGTTTTGCCAAGGGTGGCATGACTAGTATGTTTGAAGTTACCAAATAGAACAAAAAAACTTAACAAAAGTCTAGCCAGTGTTGAAGTTATACAAATATTTGACTTATTTCTGTCACAATTAGATTGATGTTACTGTGAGAGGATGATAGATATTGACCAAAAGAACAGGTAAATACACAAATAACTAATTTCCCCTTCACTCAAAATGTATTTTGTATTTTAAAATATGTTTCCTGTTTTTAAAAGGATTAGAGTTGAAAAACAAAAAAACTACAGAATTGCTTGTATGGAAAAAGAACTAGGATTTCACTACCTGTGCACATTTTTTCAATGTTTTTTGTGTATCCCAGGGTATTAAAGCATTTCTTTCTCAGAGCAGGTCCATACTTCATGCTAAATTCCAGCAACCTTCAATCTTAATTTCTTGTTTCAGACATCTTTTTAATGAATGTAATAATAGCTGCTACATTATGGTTGTAATTCTTTTTGTGAGCTCTGAAAGTAGTTAAACCCACCAATGTTATGATTTGAAATGAATGGTTAATGTGTAAGATGTTTGCATCAACGGATAAAGATTTTATTGTTATGCAGCATGTTACGACCCCAAGTGTCTAGGGGTATCGGGGTGTAACATTTAGGATAATTCTTTGGAAGCAGGTGGGTTTTGGTGAGGGACTAGGAAAAGTGATAACAAGGGTAAGGAACTAGAGTGGTGCCAAAGGAAAGAAAATAACAAACAAAATGGAGCTGGCTAGAAAAGTGAGGGAAAGCTAGCCTGACTGCAAAAGAAAACCCAAAACACAAGGTCTTTGGCATCTTCAACACCCTAACTAGCCTCAACTGACTACCCAACACCATACAAGACAAATGGCACTCACCCGTACTAAACTAGTGTTACTAATACAAAGTCAACTAAGTGTGTAAAGTGTACCCTACAACCTAATTTAACCTTATACAGAAAAGTTCACACAAAAACACAAGTGAACCAGGAATACAAATAAGGGAAAACAAGAGTAATCAACAGGAGCAGGGTACAGAAGAACACAAAAGTTGAACATGTAACACGTTAGGGCAAGGTAATGGCAAAAAAAGGATAAACACACAAACAAACGAAAGTACAAAGAAACTAATAGCAAACCAACAAAACAACAAAGCCGAAGCTATATGAAAATACACACACACAAAGCAAAACAACAAACCAACCAAGTGGTGGTGTGATGGTGGGCCAATAGGGGAGGGAGAACAATCAAAGGTCAGCAGTGTGTACTGTACATAACAGAAAAAACACACACAGAACACACACTGGGACATAACACAGCATCTTCAATGCAGAAATGTATAGTTGAATATCATACTTAAAAGTGATTGCTCTTGATATACATCTATTTTTCAGGTTTTTTCAGGTCATTAAAAAGATTTAAAATGGAAAAGCTTTATCAAGTCTGCCATAAGTATCTAGTACTTCAAGACATTTTTCCTCATCATGTTGTAACAAGGCCAAGAACCTGAACAACATAAGTTAAATTGAAACAATGTGCCTTGATAACAAAGCCACGCGTTGATTATTCTTTCATTCAAGTTCTATTGATATTGATTGACTTTTACATACTTAGTGATGTAGTATTAAAATATACAGTACTGTAGGTATAAAAATCATACTTTTAAATGGTATTCTTCCTTATTCATCTTAAGTTATGAGCATAATATAAATAAACAACATTTAAAGGATTTGAAAAAGTTACACTCATATACAGCAGAACATCTAAATATTGTAAAAAGATCAAAGGACTTTATATAACTTACTGTAGAAGAATCTAAATGAGAACAACATCAGTAAAGATACAAAAATATTTATATCTCAAGATATTATGTGCCTTTTATCTTTTGTCCTTCAGTCTTACTTTCTACATACTCTATCTTGTGACATCTGCTACTGGTTTCTGCAGACACAACATAAATGGTGAAGATCACACATTTTCGTGTTCACAAAGCGTTGAATCATTTCAGCTGAAGAGTACTATTTCACTAACCAATCCTCCACTTCCATAAATTGATATCTTCTGTTTTGTATTTCTTGGTAAATCACTTGTCACCCAGACTGCTTCCCAACTCAATCTCTCTGCATTCCCCAGGATAATTTTCTCTTCACATAATGCCCCATATGATGTGCATTGTATAATTTGCATTAAATGAATCAAAACACCCAGGGACCAGAAAAATAACCCCTATTTGAAACAAAAGGATCTCTTTGAACACCAGCTGTGCAACAGAGGTGGGAGGTTTAGGAAGAGGCAGTTTTATAATTAGGAACTTTCTCGTTCCCAAAATATAATGGACAATGGAAGCCACAAGAGTAATTACCACATACAAATAAGTAAGCCTATATAGTACCAAAAAACAATTTTTAACTATTAGTTTTATTGGCATTATTCTGCTCCACAGTACAAACAAAACAATAATTTTTGAGCTTGCACTAGCATATGGAATGTCAATGTACAGTATACTGTAT